GGCTCGGCGCCTCCCCGCCTGGGTCGGGGCGGGGGGCCGAGCCCCTCACCGCGCCGTCCCTGCTGGCGGAGGAGTCCGCCCGCCTCCGCCGGGGGCTCGGCGCTTCGGGCGGGTCTCGAAAGCTGAGGGAAAAAAAACCTCATGCCTGAGGGAAAAAAGGCAGGAAACGGCTTTAAGGGACGCGGCTTTTTGCAAGCGGTGGCTTTTTAAGACTAGACCCCGCCAGCAGCTGCCACGGTTACCGCTGTCTGCTGCGTTGCCTGCGGTCATGGCTTTGAGTCTTAGGTAAGATGGTCAGCGGTTTTGTGGAGCCTGTACTTAAAATACTTAGAATATTCGGCAAGGCAATGCTGCTGTTTCTTGTTCTGCTGAGTTTTGGGGAAGTTGCATGCTGCGTGTCGTCAGGTTTTCCAGTTCAGCTCTTCAGAGTTACTTCCTGCCTGAACATCAGATCTAGACTCAGTATCTTAGCTTTTATCTATTCATGCGTTAAGAAGCCTTCCTATCTAGTTCCTGTTGAACAGAAGCTGTAATTCAGTACGTTTTTTCTATATGATGACCGCGTAACTATGTTCATCTTCAGGGTGGGAGACTTGCTTGAAAGACTTACTTTAAATGGCTGAATAGTACTGTTTTGAAACCTTCGATCTGTGTTGTTAACTGTTCCGTGCTCTGTTATGTAAATTTGAGGTGTATGTTTTTGATTTCTCTTTATGCGTGCATGTATCCAGCAACATAACTTGGCTGACTTCATGGTATAGATTGCGTAGGTAATTGAAACTAAGGAAGATCTCTTTGCTCGTGGAAGGAAGCAAATATAAGAAACATACCTGTGCTGCAAAATAATGTTACTGTATTCTGCATGTGCTCTAGGAAAGCTGTCTTGTGAAATTAATTAGAATGTCAAGATTTGAAAACCACTGGCTGATATTCTTTGGGTTATTTTCAAGACTCCTCTCCATAGTTGCGTAACAATTTTGGAATTACTTTAAATACTTTATTTTAGTTAGTATGAGAGTCAGTTTGAGTCCTCAGCTACCTCTTCTTTATTTCAGATGATGCGAGTGCTACGTGTTTTATACATCTTGGTTTAAATGTGTGATGTTGGAATTTGGGAGCTTAAGTGAGAGACAATTTACTGTGATCAGAAAGAAATCTAGATACCAACTACTTAGTAGCACTAACACGTAATGTAAACAAGGGGCAAAAAAATGCCTCCCTTGCTTCCCAAAAGGTGTTGTACTTTTATTATGTTTAGATTAAGGTAGGCCTTTGCTGTTTCTAAATTGTAGCCTAGTTTAGAGATTCTGCTGTCTGAACTTCTGTCTTCTTAAATGTCTAGTGTTACCAGATGTGGCAGAAGATACAGTCTCACCAACTAGAGCTCGGACCATGAAGGACTATGAAAATGTAAGCAGATTTTTAATATAAGACTTGGTGACAGCTTTATGGCCAAGATATTTCTAACATGCTGGCTAAAGGTTTTGCTCTCTGGGTCAGGTTCTTAGTTTGTGTCAGTCAACGCAGTTGATTGAATCTGTTGGAGGTGTGACCAGCTGGCAACCTGTGCTTTGAACCTCCATTTCTTAAGTATTGCTTTCAAAAACAGGCAAAAATTTGTTGTTGAGACTAGCCAACTGCTGGTCTTGAGTTGCAAAACAAAAATTGGCGTGCTCTGCTCAAAAGTTCATGCAATCACCAGAAACATAAGAAATTGATTTGCAAGTCTGCAATTGATTTATTTCAGGAAAACATCAAGTTTATTTTCATTTAGACTAGTACAGGATTTGGCTTTTTAATTCACTTACTGCTGTATAATACTTCTACCTTTATAATTATGTACAAGTGTGCTTGGAATACTTTTGTTGTAAAGGTCTAGTATCATTGTGACAATCCTGTAGATAAAACTGGTTTTGGGACTTACTAGAATATAAAGGAAAACATTAGAATTTTTTTTTTAAAAAAGACATTAATTGTATTTGTTTTTTAAATTGAAGAAGCCAATTGTTTATAACTTCTGAATGATGATTTGGTTGGGGTATAGCTGTGTTGCATGACAACTCCCCTGTAAAGTTTTAAATTGTTTAACTCAAGTTCTTATGATTGTGTGCTCTGAGATGACTGCTACAGATAAAGGCTGTGGCTTGTTATCTTTAGGATGTGTTCAAGTGTCTGCAGTTTTTAGTGTGCTTCTGTAACGTTGTTATGTTTGAAATGAGTGTTTCTTCTAAACTCTTTCCGTTTCTTGTGGGCTTACAGCCCTCTGAGGAGAAAGCTGTGGTCTTCGCTCAGAATTTAAAGCTTGTTTTGGAAAGCCTTGGTGAAGGATGTTTTTTACAGTCTGTATCTACTTCACTTTTTTGTTTTTGTATAGTGGCTGGGGTAGAAAGACACTACCTTGGCATTAGTGTACGCTTAAAATCTTTTACCGTGATATGTGCCAAAGACCTCAGCCTAGAATATAGATTCTGCAATGTTCATTTTCACAGGGGAAAAAGTTGTAGAAGGGAGGAAAAAAATCTGTTGTTTGTTCTGTGTGATATAGAGGAGAAAGGGTCTCCCCACACATCTTTGGATTCCCGATACGTACAGACCCTTTGTGTTAAACTGGGCTGTAATACTTCTCATAGGCTTTTATGCGTGCCAACAGTAGAATGAAGCTCAAAAATCCATTCAAGTAAAGGAAGAAGAATCCATTAAACACAATTGAACACAGAGGTATTTCTGTAACTTCTGTTTTTGAGTCTTTAAGATTGCTGGTAGCTGGAAGGCTAAACTTCAGAAAGGGAGCATTTACTTTCTTTGTCCTTTTACTATTTACCAAGCATCCAGTAGTAGCTGCGTTTAGATGCACTTTTGGACTGACATTGGAAGGCTGTTCTTATCCCACTTTAAACCAAATCTGAATTAGCAGGTAAAGTTTCTGATAGATAAAGTTTGCTGGCAACACCAAGCTGTGTGGTGTGGGCAACATGCTGGAGGGAAGGGATGCCATCCAGAGGGACTTTGACAGGCTGGAGAGTTGAGCCCGTGTGAACCTCATGAAGTTCAACAAGGCCAAGTGCAAAGTCCTGCACATGGATCGGGGCAATCCCAAGCACAAATACAGGCTGGGTGATGAGTGGATTGAGAGCAGCCCTGAGGAGAAGGACCTGGGTGGGTGTTAGTTGACAAGAAGCTCAACATGACCCAGCAACGCGTGCTTGCAGCTCCCGTGTCCTCGGCCACATCAAAAGAAGCATGACCAGCAGGTTGAGGGAGGCAGTTCTCCCCCTCTACTGTGCTCTCGTGAGACCCCACCTGCAGTACTGCGTCCAGATTTGGGGTCCCCAACATAAGAAGGACACGGACCTGTTGGTGTGGGTCTGGAGGAGGGCCACGAAGATGATCAAAGGGCTGGAGCACCTCTCCTATGAAGACAGGCTGAGAGAGTTGGGGTTGTTCCACCCGGAGAAGAGAAGGCTCTGGGGAGACCTTCTAGCAGCCTTCCAGTACCTAAAGGGGCCTACAGGAAAGCTGGGGAGAGACTTTTTACAAGGGCAGGTACTGATAGGACAGGGGGTAATGGCTTTAAACGGAAAGAGGGTAGATTTAGATTAGGTATAAGGAAGAAGTTCTTTATGGTGAGGGTGGTGAGGTCCTGGGAGAGGTTGCCCAGAGAGGTTGTGGCTGCCCCATCCCTGGCAGTGTTCAAGGCCAGGTTGGATGGGGCTTTGAGCAACCTGGTCTAGTGGAAGGTGTCCCTGACATGGCAGGGGGGTTGGAACTAGATGATCTTTAAGGTCCCTTCCAACCCAAACCATTGTATGATTCTATGAGGTCTCTTGCTCGGAGGTGGTTTGTGTGCGTATATATATATATTACTGCATGAATTTGCTGATATTTGAGGCTATGTTATTTATACAGGATATGAGAAGGAAGGTATGAAAAGAGTAGGCTCCTTGCCTTGCAGATCAGAGAGAACAGGATGGGTGTAATGACCCTTGAATGGGCTAAAGGGTGGATCCATGCAGAAAAGGTCCTTTAAAGTTTAGACCTGGAGAAAATGCTGAGCTAGATAATATTAGAGGTGTAGACTTTTTTTAGTATTTATGGTGGTGTCCCACTTTCTTGCAATATGGGGGGGACCACCTTGTGATAGAAAATGTGATTACATCGGCAAAGTGAAAGGCATCTCTAATTGAGGACCTCGTTATGGTGTATTAGACGTTCATGAATAGAAAGGGTGATTGGTATCAAGTTAGGGAACTAAGCAATAATATTAGTGGTTTTTTTTCTTGTCTCCCCAAACCCACTTAGAGTCTTGCTGTCTTGTCAAATGGCCTCTGTGGGCAAAAACTGTGTTGCACTGTGAAATGCGTTTTGCATAAAAGTGGCTCTATGCAGACTTGGAAAGGAGCTAAACCGAGCTGGGCAAGTGGTGTTTGCTACCATGCTGTCTGTGGTGTGGCATATTCTGTGTAGAGTGTATTTCATTGTCCTGTTTTTTCAAGAAGTGTCTGCTATTTCTCTTCTTTCATTCCTTTTTTAAATACAGAAATCAAAATGCATAAAGGAATTAAGACCAAATCTTTAAATGCGTAAGTCGACAGTATTGCCATTAAAATCCCTTTGCAGTGTGAACTTGTTCCTATTTTAAAGGTTGTCTTTTATTAAAGCTATAACTTTTTAATTTTAGCCTGCCTGAATTAACTTTCCTCTGAGAAACTGAATGTCAGAGACAACATTTGTTTCACTTCTTGGTTCATGATTGTGTAGTCTGTTTTGTTTGCTTTTTGAAAATAGTACCCTTAAGCTCTTTGGTTTAATTCTGTTGCCACTGAAACACAGGTGAGTAGAATTAAGGTATGCTGAGTTCTTTTGAAATTGTTTTTTCCTTTTGCCTCAGAAATGTATTGAATGTGTGAAGACTGACAGCTTAAAAAAACCAAACCACTAACCAAATGCTGTAAGGTCTGCTCTCGCTAGTTGAACATAGTACTGAACTTGCCAGCAAGATATGCAGGATCTAGCACAGTTCTGCAGCCTTGTTTTCTTTAAGAAACCTTTAATTTCTTTGCTTACTTGGAATAAGGATTTCAGCTTTGAGCAATATTCTGCATTGGGCTCTGACTTGAATTGAAATACAAAGTTGCATTGTTTTCATGCTTACATCTATTTGAATATTCCAAAATAGTCATTCCAGTTACTCAACATACCGCATGATACTCATGAGGTATCATGGTTTAAGCAGTTACAACTTGCATAGCTCAAGTTTTTATCCGCTACTGTTTGTGATCATCCAGTTGGAATTGCAGGGAAACAAAGATAAAGTTAAATATATGTATTGCTACTGTTTATAAAGACAGGCTTCTTTAGGATGTGCGAATGGGCCACAAAGTTTATGTAGTCAAGCATATTTTTAGTTGCTTGGGTGATAGTTGTGTGAATAACGACAAGGCATCTTGCTGGGCAAAGATTATTAGACTGAAGAATTGTTTGCAGATGCAGGTTCTGAGTACAGTTACAGAAAATAATTTTAGGTTTCACAAGCCAAATATTTTTAAGAATTGTATTGCTAATAATTTTTACAAGTGGTACTATACTGTTCTGGAAGTGCCTACATAAATATTTTATTAGTAGCTCTGTAACATTAGATTTCCTTTTGCTGAAAGCGTCTGGCAGGGGACACAAGTCTTATTTGAATGAATGTTTTATGCTTAGTATCTTTAAAAAAAATGTAGAGGGAGACTCCGTTCTTTAATGAAACCATCAATTGTGTTATTGCTTCTACTAGGAAGGTGAAAAATCATAAGCAATTTTTTCCCAAAGAATTGCACTGTGAAATATGGGATGGGATAAAGGTTTTATTGGTGTTCGATTCGGCTCACATGCCTTGTGTGCTTGTGGCTTTTCTTCCCATGAATAAGGCTACCATTGCAAGCTTTTGCTAAGCAAGTACTTCTGTTTCAACATGACATCTTATATTTTGTTCTAAGTTCTATTTTATAGAAGAAAGAACTACTTAATATTTCTAGATTTAAAAAACTCTCTTGGATTCTTTTTGTGTAAAGTCAGACAATGTTTTAGTACTTAAAGAAGGAATAGTCTAGAGCACTGTTTGCACAAAAGCATGTATTATATTTTTTAACAATACTATTTTATAATTATTTGCTTAAGTGCTAGTGTCTCAGAGTTTTGCAGGGCTAAAAATAAACACAAGCTAAATGATAACATCTTACACAAACACACAAAGTTTCTGTGTGTGCCAGTGTGCCTATATATCTTAAAACCAAAATGAAACTGAAAAACAAACCCCAAAACATTCAGAAGGGGTAGGCTGGAGTGTGATTTCTTGTTCAGGTTGGGAATGGAGGTGGGGAAAAGAAATGTTATGGCTGGGATGGGATGTTCTGTGATAAGTGCTGAAGCTATAGAAGCCAGAAACCTGTTGAAGGACTTGGAGTATTTGCAGCTCCCTGTGTGACACTATTTTGGAGGGAAGGATGTTCATTTTGACTTGGGTGTCATATGCTGTTATTAACACCTTCACAGTTTGAACGTGTGTCTGTATATCACCAACACATATGTACACATTTATGTCCAGTGGGTTGAATTTTAATCTCGCACTGTGGAGAGCAAAACCAAATGATAGTAGTTTTCACTCTTTATTTTACTTGGTTTGAAACACATGATGTAATTTGCTCATTTTCTTTCTTATTTCATAGCAAATCACTGATCTGAAAAAAGAGAACTTCAACCTGAAGCTTCGCATATACTTTCTGGAGGAGCGAATGCAGCAGAAGTTTGATGGTCCCACTGAAGAAATATACAAAATTGTATGCATTTAGAATAATTTAACAGAACTATATCTCTTTTTGAAGAGTTTGTTTTGTGGGGAGGTTACCTGTTTTACTGAACTTTTGAGTCTTTTTTTGTTGTTGGAAATTTTGGCATGATAACTTTATTTTATTCTGGCCTAATCCTTTTCAGTAATAACTAAGTTAAAATGACCATTGTAAGGTGTGGAAAAATTAGTTTCAAATGCATGAGTGTGCTTACTTATGGGACAGACTAAGAGATGTTTTGTTTCCAGTAAGTGGTTATGAATCTTCAGTAGTTGTGCTACTGAAATCATATACTGAATGGGTAATAGAAGAAGCAGCATGCTTCTTCTGAATTTGGCATGTAGTTATTCTGCTTTCTACTATCAGGCAGTTCAGTTCACCCCTCTATTCTTTCCTGGGTTTATCACGTCAGTACAGCTACTTGGAGGTTGTTTGGGCACTCCAGCTCGAAGTTGCTTCCTTTGAAGCATGTAGATAAAGTTATATTAGGATTGTGTATAGTTTCTAGTTTTATTGCTCTAAATTGAAAGAATGCGTATTTGTACAGGATTCAGGAAATCTGTTTGATTCCTGTGTCATTTTTGTAGAAGAAACTGATACCTTGTTAAGTTGGAAGAAGGATTTAAGTCAAGTGGTGTGTCTTGCATCCTCGTTATTTTAGGTTTGCAGATGATAGGAAGCATTTCTTACGCCCTTTGGTGGTGCCTGTGTTCTAGAAGGGCATTTTGGTAATGCAGTAGCATGTTATTTATAACAGATGTTTGCATCAGGTCTCTTTCCTGTAATAGGATGGAAACTTAAGTCTGTCTTGATGCTTGTCGCAGTATTTAAGTGCATAAATTGATGTTTAGCTAGGTCATGGTTTCAACTGAATATTGCTGATTGGACTTCTGTCCTGGTCTTCTACGCTGGTGTCTGTCTTGTAGTTGCTAATGTATTGAAATAGTATGTCAGCTTGCAGGCAAAGTAGTTCTTTGTACAATGGGTGCTTATGTCATGTAGTTTTCTCAGGCTGCAATGAAATAATTCAAAGATTATTAAAAACATCGATTGTTGATACAATCAGGTTTTTAAAAGAAAACAAAAAGAAAATACCTCATAGCTCAAAGAAAAACCATGCATGGAAGCCCTAGAAACTCCCAAGCTGATCTGCAGTACTCCCCGTTATAGTAGTTAAGTGTGTGTAGGGGATTTGTATTGCTTGAATACAATGGTCCTAAATGCTTTTTGAGATTTTGGAAAGTCTTGAACCTTGCAAAATATGTCCTTTAAAAGCTAAGTGTCTCTAGGCTGTTCTTAGCCCAATGGCACTTTATATTTGCTGGTCCGAGCAAAAAGTAATCTACGCGTTGCCAATAAGTTTTGGGTGTGACCTCTGAATTATTTCCAGACACTTTCATTCTTTTGTCCTAGAACATTGAGCTGAAAGTTGAGATAGAAAGTCTGAAGCGTGATCTGCAGGAGAGGGAGAAACTACTCATCAAAGCCTCGTAAGTACCAGTATATTTCTTGATGTCTGTTACTTAGGATTTCCAAGATCTTGCTTCTATTTGTTTTTTTTTTTTTTCCTAATGTTTTAGGAATATGAGGATCCCAAAGTAGAATTTTAAGGGCACTTATATAGAAATTGCTTCATTCGTTACAGAAATTACATGTGTGAATTCTTAAATGCACAATGGTGTTAATGTAGTTACACTGGATGGTGCAACTTTGATATTATCCTTCATTCTACTGTATTTTTCAGATAAATAAATGACTCCCTATTTGGGAGTGGCTTAGCATTCCTATTGTAGAAGTTAAGTTGAGAGCTTAATTGTCTCAACAGGTGAAGAGGTGGACCTTTTTTTTTTTACAGCACTGGATTGAGAAGATATTATACAAAACACTTCTTAGTAAGGCTGAGAAAACAGAACTAATCTAGAATGAATCTTCTGGTTTTTAATGATACAAAAATGAATACACTTAAAATTCTTGCTTTTCTGTTAGAACCTGTTTTATGAATAAATATTACTTATTTAAAAATTACATAGTGCTACATTGTCTTATGGCGTGGGCAAGGTGGAATATGCTTTGGGGAGGGAATGGATGACCATAGGGCTGACAATAGTCTGTTAAACTTCTTCCTTCTAGATGTCTGGTTCAAAACTAATCCAGGCTGGCAATGACTGACAGCTACTGACTGCTACATGAGCCTCAGTTTCAATGGAATTTTCTTTGTGTGGCCTACCTCACATGGCATTGAATTGTTACCAATTAGCCTTTTTTCAGTAGTTCAAAGAGGCCCATTTTCAAGTAGATCCTGAGGACCAGATTAATTTTTTTGTTTGTTCTCTCCAGGTAGCTGTCAAGGGGTATTGCTGGGCTTTGAATGGAACCTTGCACAAGCTCATAGTAGGAAGGAAAATTTAGGTAGAAGTCATAAACAAGTGGTCATCCTTTGTTTAGTAAGGAAACACTGGCTGTTCTTTTCTTACAAGGTATTAACAATTACTGAAAAAGCAATTGGAGACATCTCAGCAGCTATGTATCTTCAGTTTATTCCAATGCTGCTTTCCGTAGAAAATACGACTCTATCAAAGGCTTGATACTGTATTTGGAAGCTTTAAAAATGTGAAGGCAATATTACACATTTTCATCACACATATAAAGTCCTTGCTTATCCACTGTGACAAGGCTTGTGTGTGGAACTCTCAGATTATACCACCAAAATTGCTATATAGTGTGTAGAAGTTTGTATTTAAAAGTGACAAGCAGGCACAGATAAAGTGGAAAATACTTGCTTGTGCGTAGTCTATCAGCCGCTTGCACATTAAATGTTTTCCACTTTGATATGCAATGGGATTTCTATCTATATTATGGTGTTTCAGTAGAGCAGTTGAAAGCTTGGCCCAGGGTGGTGATGCTGAAATACAGCGTGTGAAAGAAGAGGCACAAAAGAAGATGCAAGAAATGGAAGAAAACCTGACTAGCAGAATAAAGTTTCTGGAAGAGGTGAGTGGCTGAAACTGAAGGAATAGTTAGAAATCAGTACTGTTTTTGTACTATTGTCTGAGATTTGATACTGTGATCTACCTATATTTTCAAAATCATTCCAGCTTTCCTGGAAAAATAGCCAGTTCAAAACAAACAAACAAAAAAAGCGCAAAATACTCCCCCCCCGCAAAAAAAAACCCCAAACAAAAAAACCAAGCAACCCCAAATCCCAAAACCCCAACCAATGAAAGGGAAGGTGATTTTAACTGCTCTTGAAATGTCAAATATGATGATAGCGGTTCTTCAGGAAATTCATACCTATTGGTGGTATTTAGGTACTTCCAGCACAAAGCTTTGATTCCTGAATTCCAGTGTGAGGAGGCTATGTTTTCAGAACCTGCAGTCTCTGTTTAGAGGAAGAGGGGCTGGATTTTGAAAACTTTTACTAATAAGGTCTAGGCTTCATAAATAGCTGAAACCACTCTGTAAGCACTCCTGTCATTTCCCATCTTTATGTGGGCCCTCAGTATTGCAGAGATTCTGTGGCTTTCTGTGTCTCCACTCTTGTGTGTTCATCATAGGCTGAGAGAGGCCACCTACTTATGGCAGCTTCTGGATAGGTGAACCAGTGGTTGCTTCCCCATGTTCTGCCTGCATGCCTTACACTCTGTTGTTAGATTGACCTTTATCTGCCAAATATTGTTGGCTTCTGCTGTCACTGTTATCACCTTGTTGCGTAACATTCTCCTGTTCCACAGGGTTATTCTTAACAGTGTCTTTTTTAATTCCTTGCTGTCTGTGGTTGAGACAGTTTATTCCTGTATTTATTGCTGAGCCATTGTTTATATCTTTACAGGGGAATTGCTTCACGTTTTCATCATTTTGTAGTGTAAAGGCAAAAAAAAAAATTTCTTTGTATTAATAACGTGCTTCCTCAGAAGAAAGGAGAAGTTCAGCTTCTTGTAAAGAACAAATTTGATATTGAATGGTCTGTGCTGGAAATGTTTGTGTCAAGTTCTAGAAATATATAAGCTTATGATTGTTTTGCATCATTGACTGTATACACTTATCTGGAGGTTTGGGATTTTGCAGCTGTGTTTGTGAGGGGGATAGATGTCTGGTGCTTTTTCTGTAAGTAAATAGAAGTAGCACAAGTGGATATATTCCAATATTTGCTTTCCCATCCCTAAAGACTGAATTGGTCATGAAAGGTATTGGTATCAGTCTCCTGGTGGTATTTTCTATCAGGATGATTTAGCAGCATTCATAAAGCAGTGAGCTCCTTCGAGGAGGAGGAGGGGGGAATCTCCATGACCTTTTTTTCAGTTTAGTGGAATTGGGATTTCTCAAAGCATTCTTTGTACTATTGGATAGGTAGAGAAGTTCCTAAATTATTTATTCTGTACCAAAACGGCCAGTCAGACTGGTGTTTCCCAGATCTGACAGGTAGAAGGGCAAATATTTTAATCTCATGGTGATATAGTATTTTCTGTAGCCTGAAGATAGTGTTGGCCTCTGACATTAATTTTATTATGCTTATGAATGTAAACACTGCTGAGTAGTATTAGTCACTTGTTTACGTAGCACCGTATAATTATGTAGATCCAGGTAACGCTAACAAAGATTAATTTCCTTCAGAGTTTTTGATTGAAAGATGAATGCTGGCAGAATAGCTTCTAAGGTGAGGGGTTGAGTGGTGAAGTCTAGTGGTGAAGGACCTTTTCCTCACCCTCCCCCAAAGAGATACGCTTTTTAGTATAGACTTTAAAGAGAGAGGGGAATTGCTTATTAGGCTACAAGGAGGCTTTTATTTCATAGAAAGCAAAATTCAGTGAGCCAGGAGGGCAGCTTACAATATAAAAATGAAGATCTGAAACAAATTTCATGTCGTGTATAACAGTGTGTTGTTTTGGTGTTCCCCGTCTCCATGAGTTGGGTCACCTGGAGGAAGTTGACTGGAATCTCTGGGTGTTATCTCTGTTTCCATTACTGTTCAAGAGAAAAATGTCTGGTTCGTACTTTATCAATTCTTGCAAAATATTATAAATGATGTTGGGAAGAGTTCCAATTAGCTACAGCGAGCCTGTGAATATTAATTTAATCTCTGATTGAATAAAAACCCCCTTCTTTAACCTCTTTAATTTAAGTGTAGCTATTCATTATGATAGTGGGAGGACAGTGGGACAAAGCCAAATTATAATAGCTAAATCTAAAGCCATAGCAAAGGGGCACTTTTTTTCCAGTTCTGCTATCAGTGAGGGTATTTGTTTTATTTCTTTGAGACAAACTTCCCTTCTTTATGTACCACAGAAAGTGGAAATGCAGACACAGAGTTCAAAAGTATTTGCGAAGCGCTTGAAGTACTTGGTAAAAGTTGCTAAATTAAACATACCAACATATGTTTGGTAGAAGAAACTTAAATATGTAAGAAGTTTTGTGAGCATTTTGTTCTTATAGGCATCAGGATTGTGTGTCTTAATTACAGAATCTTAAAGCTGCCCAAGAAGATGTGGAAAAAGCCATTGTGATCACGGAGAAGGAGAAAGCTCTGAGAATAGCTGCTGAGCAGAAACTTTCTTCAATTATGAATGCCCCTGCAAAGGATGTGGGTATGATTACAGGAGCTGAGAAGGACAGGTCAGAACTCTTGCCGGTGATGTTTTTAACTACTGGAATTCTTTATTGTTAAAGTGTGAAGAGTTGACATGGATGTAGGTTTTAATAGTTTGATCCTACCCTCAGATACATGAGTGAGTGTTACTGGCCATCTTATCTATTCAGCTATTAAATGAATAGCAACACAACAACTAGTTTACATGCTGCGTGATAGCAAAATCATATTTAAAAGTTGTCTGAAAGTGTAAAAGGACCAGTATGCATGTGACATGAGCATGTCCTACTTTAAAGCGTCTTTGTAACTGTGCTGACTTACGTTCTGCTTGCTGCTTTCTTGAACCATTGCTGAATAGAACTTGACTCTACCATTTGTGTTCTCTTGCTGCTTTCATGGTGTTCATGTACTCTTCAGTCCCAGTGATGTATCTGTTGAGGTTGGTAAATATAATGGAAAGAGAAACATAGTGTGTTTCAGCTTCATGGTTTTGATTGATTGTGCTTTGCAAAGCACTGGCTTTGCTTTGTTTGGCAGGTAGTTGGAAGAGTTTGTGAGGTGTTCAATAACTTTGGGTGGGGAAAATGTATAAACTCAAATCTCAATAGTTTGCAGGATTTTTATTTTTTTAGGTATGTAGGGTAAAACGCATGCCTGGCAAGCCTTCCAGTAAAGCTTAGTTAGTTTGAGGATGTAAGCCCAGAGTGAAGATCAAAAGACTGTTATGATTCCTTATACTTTGGAGTATCCTTTCCTGTCAGTTTGTGACTGAACCCTGCAGGTAACTGCTCTGTGAGTAACTGCGTAATTGGTCTACCCTGGTAACAGACAGTTATGTTGGCCTGAGGCTTTCATTTCATAGGTTTTATATTACAGTAGGACCAAAGCAAGGTTTGCAGTGTTTTCCAGACAGTTTTTGTAAAAGCATACAGATTGAAAACTGCAAATCTGAAATCTACAGTGGCATAAAAATTATACAATGGTAATTATAACCTGGCTCTCAAGTTATCTCCTTCCTTTACCCTTTCTCTTTCCTGTCTTCCTCTTTCTGCTAGTCATCTGTGTGAACACAGATGCTCTCCTGAGTGACTTGAGCTGGGAAGGAGTTATAAAACCAGTCCCTTTCAGAGGTGCTTTAGTTGCTAGCTCTATAACTTGTGTGAAAACGGTGCTTAAAGCGTGGAAACAAATTGTCAGGATTGGATCACTACAGTGGAGTGAAGGCTGTGTGGAGTATGACAAAGAATGTCTGGTGTGTGTCCCCCTCCCCCAGCCCTGTGATCTAGTGTTAGCAGGATCTTCTACAATTACATGCTGGTAGATCAGTGTAAGTAGTCACAGAACCACAAAAACATAGCACTAATGGAAGAAGAGAATATTTGACTTCTTGAAGTGAATCAAATATTAATGTGCAGTGCTTTAAACTTGTGTGGGAGTAGCAAGCACATCTGGAATTCATATTCTGTTAAAAAGATACTTCCACCATCTAGGCTACAAAATACTAAGAGCATCACAACTGGCATCTTAAAAAAACCCCAAACTTTCTGGCATATAACCCTTATGTCTGTCAGAAAACTCAAGCTTCGTTGTTTTTATCAGTTGGAATACTGAAGTGTCAAGATGTGTATTGACCAAAGAAGGTAGCGCTGACCTAACTTTTTGTTGTGCTTATGTGAAATGAGAACCAGCTTAGGTATTAAGTATAAATGAAACTAGATGCGTGAGGGACACTTAGTGATGGCACGTACGGATACGGTGTTGTATGTGCTAAGAAGTGAAATAGATTGATAAGCTTTTTGTGTGTGCTATAAAGGACAATGTGACTAAAATATTGAAGCTTAAGTGTTGACACTTGAAATGGTACTGGAGGAAAGTAAGAATGAGCGCTTTGCAGGTAGCTCAACTCTGTTGCTTGCTTGAAAGGTACGGCACCTTTTCTGGTTTCTCTGGTGGGAGAAGGGGTTGTGAAACTACTGCCCTACGTTTTACATGTATTGTCTGGAATCTTCACCTAGGAAAGTTGTCTACAAGATTTATTGCAATGGCTGGAGAATTGGTGGTAGATGATGCAAGATTAATATTAAAATCTTATAATTTTAGACTTATAGAGCAACTGAATCTGTCATTGAAAAGTAAAGAAGCTATAATTCAACACCTTGAAGAGGAAAAGTCTCAAAGTGGATCTTATGATGGGAACTTATCAGCAGAAAAAATCAGAGAACTTACCATTGCTTTGAGGCATGAAAAAGATAGTGAGATAGAGGTGAGGAAACTGACTGAACAGTTATGTTATAAATCTCATGTGGTATAGGATTTTAAAGGATTCGTGCATGACGTTATGTGAGTGAGTTCAGCCAGTTTTTTAAATTATTATTCTCCACAGTTATTCCCTCCTTCCCTTCTCCATTTCCTTAACGTTCATTGGTTATATTGTGGTTTGGTGGTCAATATTCATCCTTGTTATCCATGCTTACCATTCACTCAATGAGTGGTCATGTTTCCCATTGATTTTATGCCTGTGTTATAGGTTCTGTGCAATTGCTTTACAGAAGTTTATATAAAAAAATGTTAGATGTTAATAGATCCCTCAATAGCTGACATAACTTCTATAGAAGTCAAGAATGTGACTAGAGAGTTTATTTTTGGGAGCTATCTCTACTGTTATGGTCTGGAGAAAAAGCTGTGGTAAGGGAGGCAGGCATAAAAAAAAGTCTCTTGAAATAAAGTGGAAGTCTAGCCTTTAGCTTACAAAAGGTGTTAGGAGTCAGTCTTTTATTTCACCTGGCTCTTAAACAGAAAGATAGATATCCTGAAACCTGCAATGTGGAAACAGGTCTTAAAGCATGTTGTCTTCCCACCCGACCCCTTAAAGCTGGCGGAATTAAGAAAAGTAATCATGGAGGCTGTCATGCTTCTTTGAAATTTTCTTCCATTTTGTTCTGGAACTTAATATTGATCAGTACCTATACACTTTTTTTGTTTATGTCAAGAATAGACAAGAGAACCTTCTACAATTGGACTGATTAGTGGAATTAAAAGTTTTCAGTTCTGGGTCTTCTTGCAATTAAATCAATATGTGTCAGGAAGAGCTACCCTGGTTTCACAAGAGTATTTGTGTGTCAAGGTGAAAATAGGGTCATCTTTAATCATTTCATAGGAGGTGGATAGACTGTATGATCATTTTTGGATGCAGAAATGGAGAAAAAAATCTGATTAATACCTTTGCACAACTCTGTTTTTATATATGGTTACTTTTTAAAAAAAAAAATTCTGTGTCCTCCCTAAGGAAAAGTGCTAATTAAAATCTCCCTTGATAAAAGCATCTTTCTGACATAGATAAATGTCACATAAAAATGCATTTTTATTAACTCAGCGAGTACAGTTGTCGTGTCTCATGGAAGAACATTGTGTGTGTTTTTTTGGTTTTTTTTTTTGTTTTGTTTTTTTCTTAATTGGGACAGGCTCATAGTGTGCCCAGGTAGATTTGTAGACTTCAAGGAAGCAACTGATTCAATATATTCCTCCCAAAAGGTGTATACTAAGTTGTTTTTCATTTTGGGTTACTCCCCCCCCCCCTTACCACGCCCAAGGTTTTTAAGCTCATTTTGCTTCATTTTAATGCTTAGTGAGTTACATATGTATTTAGAATGAATTATTTAGTTGACTGTAATAACTGTTGTGTTCTTATAGGCTATTAGAATGGAGCTTAAAAATGAAAGAAATTCCTTTGAAAAAAAAATTCAGGTAAGTTCTGGTTTTGTTTCTGTTTCTTCAACCACTTAAGTGCATGTTGGCATCTCTTCTGTTATGCAATCATAGATGCAGAGGCCTTGACTCGAAAGGAAGCAAAGCAAGTCCTCTGGTAAATTCTCTTTTATGTTAGATGACAGGAAGGCTCACCTTGTTTTTGAAGCAATTTTCAGTAAAGCTGATGGGCACACTCATCAAATATTGAAGCTGATACTCATGGCCAGCCCATGAGATTAGGCTTCTTATACTATATTCCAGGCACATCTTTAAGATGATGACTTGCATTTTGGAACTATATTTTATGTTAGTAGTCTGAGTAATAAGATATAAGAACTCTTGAGAGAATGTACTTATTAATGTGCAGTTATAGTATCTCTTAGTGGGAAGTTAATGCAACTTTCACATAATCTAATTTAGTCACTTCAAGAAGAGCTACAAGAGAGAGAAAATGAGCTTGCTGTAGAAAAGAAGAATGGTTTGAAAAGGGATAAAACCATTCAAGGGCTAACTGTTGCATTAAAAGCAAAGGAAAAAGAGGTATGATGATTATGATCTTACTGGTTTGTTGAACTATCATTGGGAGGAAAATGTGTGCATTGTGTATGTGGCAAGGGTTGACTGATCTCACAGTAACCATTAGGAGGCTTCTAGTGGGTCCTTAATCACTGCTGTTATATCTGTAAGCAGTTCTGTTTATCTAGAGTTTTGGGTCTTGGACTGGAGGAGAGAGAAAAAAGGGACTTAACTGATACTTTCTCCCTTAAGAACTGTTTTCAGTTACGCAGTGATTTTTATCAGCTCTGAGCACCACTTAAAAGGTACGAGAAGCATTTTATGTTGTTAAGTGGAGCTGTCATAAAGACAGCTAAAATAGGAGAGGTCAACGTCAGCTGAAATTCAGATTTTGTGGACGAATGGGAAATATTGAACTTGAGTGATAGGCAATCTAGTGTGTGTTGTATAAGAACAAGAATTTCTTTATGCAAGATTTATTATGATGTATTTGGTGTTTTTGTTCTTTAAAGTATTTGTTTTGTGTAGTTGGATGAATGGATAATGAGATGGGATAGCTATTACTGAATCACCATCCCTTGGAAATAACTCTTTCTACATAGTATTCATTTTACTTTACTTAAAGAATGAGGAGCTTGGTTCTGAAATTGAAGATCTAAATGCTTCATTGGCTAAGGCAAGAGAGGCAACTCACAAAGCACACATCCAAAAATTCAAGGTAAGAAGCAAGCAGTTAATGTGGCTTCCCCATCCCTGCTCCTTCCTTCTCCATAATTCCACGCAGCGCGTAGTGCTTTGTATCTTTGAAAGCAGAGGAATGCAAATTAATTTAAAATGTTGTTTAAAGTGTTTAATTTTTCTTACTTTGAAAAAAGTTTCCCAAATGAAATTATTTAAATGATAGTGTTAAAATGTCAGATTACTTATCTTGTTTCTTGAGGCTTTTTTCTTCTATAACAACTGAGAATTATTAAGGGAGATGTGTAAAAGCAAAATGAGTTAAAAATAAAGACACCACTAGTTGTGGAGCTGAGATGATATTGAGCTTTCTTTGTTGACCCAAGAATGTTTTGGTTTTTCTTCCAAAAGTATGGTAACAGCACACTCTTCATGTTAGCAGAGTTGAACTGGGTATGAGACACTAGTTTGGATTTATTTATAATAAATGTGAAACCACTGTTTATAACATAGTGGAGTGTTGTTTGTGAAAATGTGATTTAGTAATGCTTTCATGTGTGTGGAGGAGAAGAGACTTTATGATGATAATTTATGCATTATATAGGTCTTAAAATATAAAATGGGAGAAAGTAAGAATTTGATATTAAAATAGACAACATAATGTCTCTTGTAATGTTTTCAAACTCATCTAAAAATAAGTCTGATAAAACTAACTAATACTGATCAGAGGCAGTGATAAATCTTCCATTATGATGTTTGTTCATCCGCTTGGTCTCTTAGCTCAGCAGGAATGGAAGAGGTTGATGCACTTGCCTCCGAAGTACACAAGCTTAAAGCTTTTGTGACTGACTACTGTTTTTTGATTTCAGAGTCTAATGGAGTAGTAATGTTTAGTTCTCGCAGAGTACCTCCATTTCTTCAAAAGCCATTTATTTTACTGAAGCCCAAATTTTAAGTGTGCTCTGTTGAGAAAAGTATATCCTGTTTATTCTTCAGGTCATTTTGGCCTGTGTGTGAATCTATAGCTTATGTTTGCTTTTACATACCATGGGAGTCCTGCTCTGAAATATTACTCTGATTTTAACCCTTTTATTTTTATGAGAGCTTGATTATTTTTGAAAAGTTCTAGGTTTAAAAAGTGTACAACTAATCCCTCCTGTCCACAGAATCCATATTGCATGGTGGGTGACAGAGCAAGCCTTTCTCCTCATTATTCTGCTACTTAGCTACAAACTTGAGTTGAAGGCAGTTCTCTGTGAGTAGATCATGCTGCATAGCCCACTACTCCTGTCATCTGTGTTGTGAACTTCGAGGCCAGTTGTAACAGTATGTGATGGGGAAGAACACAAATCAGACTTGCTATTTCATATAAAAAAATATGCTTATGACTTGGTAACTACTTGACCTAGTCTGGGATCAAACTGACCCAAAAGTAGAAAGCTTTATGTAAGAAGAGCTTTGGGAACCAATAATAATATGATTTAATTTGCACTATGGAGTCCTTTGCAGGTCAACCATTATTTAGTTCTTAGATAACTAAGACTTTGTTATCCTGCGCTGGATGCAATTGAAAGCTGTTAAAATAGTTGAGAAAATTTTCAGTGTAACGGTTTCCCTGTTGTGTGAGTAACTGTCACTTCACTGTATTTTTTGCATCACAATTTTGAAGTACTGGAAAGAGGTGCAGGGGAGTGGGTTTGGACGGAACAGCGGTAAAGAGTTCAAGTCTCCACAGAATACCCTTATAGACCTTGAATATTGCTTTATGTTTCAGGGTGCTGAGGATTATCAAGCTCTCTTGATGGAAAAAGAGACCCTCTTAGCAGAGCTGCGTTCGGAAAACCTTACAAAGGATGCTGAGAATCGTAAACTACAAAGGAGGATTAAAAGGACCGATCAAGAGCTAAATGATTTGAATTTAGAAAGAGAGAAAATGGAGAAGGAGCTGGATGAAGCACAACTACAGAAGAGCAGAAGTGACAAAACCATTAATGTTATTATCACTTTTTTTTTTATTTCATACAGTTTAAAGATAATTTAGCACTTCTAGCATGTCCTTTTCTAACAAATTTAGTTCTTTAATTTGAATAATTTTTGGAAAGGTAAATGCATTTGCCTAAAGCCAGTGTTCAAAAGAATGTGGCCAAGAAGATTGAGGAAAATTCTGGCACATAGTCTGCACAGAAAAATATTTTAAAATAAATATAATTTTGATAGTCTTGGGTCCTAGAAAAAATCATTAGCCTTTGTAAGTGGTAAATGGTTACTCTTGGTTTCAGTTTTTCTAATGGGAGGACCTGAACATGCATGACTGTACTTTTTATATTTCTGCTGTATTTGTCTTGTTACGTGTCTATACAGTATCTTAAATTACACTACTTTTAAATTTAACTTTCTTTTAAATTCTAATGCAGAACAGGAGTAAGTAGCCAGTTGTTGCAACTTTAAGCCAAACTTCAGCTTGCTTTTTGCTATCATAGCAGGGTCACTGTAAAGGCTGTATACTTAATAATTTCTGCTTGTAAAATTCCCAAAGCACAGGATTAGTTGATCACAATTTAACGTAAAAATGATGTGCTGTATCTGTTCATTAATTTTGTTGCTTCATATTCTGTTTAGGGTTTTTTACCTTGCTGTAGGCGTTTAGATAAGCACTTCTGCTTCCAGCATGCACAGCTCATGCAACAAAGTGAATGATCTGGTTTCTTCTTTTCTTCCTTTGAAAAAAGGATGCACCTTCTGCTGAGTGTTTGACATAAAATGTACTTTTTCACCTGTATGACTCGTCACATGGATTTTTCTAAAGTCTTCTCACCATTGCTTCCATTAGGGGAGCATTTACATAAAGAGTAGAGTTCTGCCTGCATGCAAAGTCTGTTCCTCTTCAGTTAGGGATTAATCTCCTGCTATATTAAATTACATAAAAGATTAAATGAGCTTTTCTGTATTCAGTGGATGTTTTGGTTCAATTATTAAATAAGGATCTTAATAAAGCAGGTATATGTGGAAATTGCTGTTCCTGCAATATCACTTAAAACCAGTAGAGGGTTCTCTTTACCTACAAACAAATAAGTTGTTCTCCCCCATCTCCTGCCCCCAATTTAACTTGCATTTTTGGTTGATTGTCAACTGTGGTTAGGCTGCTGTCACAAAGTCTCTATCTTTGGTGTGCTTTGAAATTTCTTCAGGGTGTTGAGGTTAAGGAGAGAAAGAACAGATTGCTTCTGTCAGTAAAACAGCCACAAAGAACATATTTTATTGATTTAAAGTATTTTATATTTAACTGTCTTCTCTATTCAGAACTTTTTTCATCTTTCAGGGGAGCTACAATATAACTCTGTATAGGAAAGACAGGAAAACCAGGACTGAGTAGGGAGTTGCCAGGCGATTCAAAGTTACTTGTATTACAGAAGCCTATTTGACTCCATTATGCTCAAGTTTTTCATGTAAATGACTAGCTCCTTGGGGAAAGCATTCCTGCCAAAAGATGAGCAGTCTTAGAAAAATTATATCCCTAACCTATTTCCTGCTCCTTGCAGAACAGCTGCTTCAATTTCAAAGTTGCTAGTACATTTGGATATAGCAACATTGCCTGTGAAATGTTGCCCATTAAGTAGTAGATATGTGGGAGTAAAAAAATATGCTGTGATATTTTGCTCTTTGACAAATAGAAAACCACTTCAGTGATCTGATGCAAACTTTTTATGAGACAGCCTTAAAAATTCTGTTCTATTTATGCCCCAAGATACCTATTTATCAGTGTTTCTATTCTGTTAGAATAAAACTAGCAACAATGTGCGTAAACTGTAGAAAATGCCCTCAACATCTGTAATGAACTGCTGTCTTAGCTCTTCACTCACAGGGAAATTTTCAATGACTTTTCATATACTGTAATTGGGATGATCCAAATTTTTGCATATATCTGTTTTTAAAAAAAACAAAACAAAAACCTTAGAGATCCAGAAAAAGTACTTCTGCCCTGTTGTAAACCCAGTTTGTCTGGAGATGAGTTGGGCACTACTGTCCTGGGATGGAAGAAGGTTAAACTAAATTAAGACTGCTACAGGTGAGCTGATCATCCAAATCACAGTGCCCTGTATGAGGAGTCTTCTGGAGCAATGGGCGTAGATGTTCTTGAATGATGTCCCTGCCTCAGGGTGGGCAGATGCCCTGGCTTTTTCCTAGGTCAGCTTTAAAAGCAAAAACTCTCAGTTCTGTACTTCCCAGAAGCTGCTGTTAAGCAGTAGTTCAGCATCACTTTTTAAGCTCTTTGAAACAAGAAACTTTGGGTGTATATTCTTAAGTACAATTGATGAGGAAGCGACATCAAGTCATCCTTAATGTTGCTTGTGTCCACCATGTTACTATGTCTATAACAGATTCAGTGCTTCTTGATCGAAGAGTTTGTTCAAATTTACATGATTAAACACTTTAGGCCTGGAGAGAGAATGGATACTTAAATGTAGACAATTAGAGTGTATTTACTAGGTATTCATATTTGATCAGTTGGTTGGGGAAATGCAGAATAACTCATTAGGCAAAATTTATTATTTAGTCTTCCTACCTCTAGTTTAGCCCAAGAGGGAGGTTTTGGAGCTTCACAACTTAATTATTCACCAACCTGTTTTCCATCTGACAAGGAGGGGGAGGCATCTGCTTCAGTCTTCTACATTATAGTGTTTCACATTCATTTTTCTTAGTTCAACTGTCATTAATCATAGGACAGTCCCTTGGGAAAAAGATTGGCAGAGGGAATTGTAAAGTTTATGCTCCGAGAGCTGTAGGTACTATATTATCCTTGCAACTCAATGTATAGAAACCAATAGATTTTCTCCCAGACAATTTGAGTGGTCAATGAGTTCAAGCAACCTGCTATAGTGATGGATAGTTTTGTGCGTTACAGAATTTTAGCTCGTGCAAAGAAGATAATTTTCAGTCTCAACTCTAGCTTGTTTTGGAAAGGGTTTAGGGAACTCTGGGGGCAGAAATAGTAGAGGCAAAGTATCTGCAAATTGCAAATCTCTCGCAGGCTTTTTTACTTGTTCCACAATTGTTTGCCTTGGCAGTCCACCTCTTTCCATAAACCTAGCAGTAATATTTAAGCTGCTTTAGAGGCAGAAGAATAGTTTCTGTACCTGACAAGTTTTGTACACAAAGATGGCTGAGATTAGATAATAGGGAATGTAGTAGTGTTATTGCAGCAGCATCTTTTCTATCTGTGCGTGCCTATCATCTTTTCTTCTTAAACCTGTTTATGGTGTTCATAAAGAGAAGTTGAAGAGTATTGGTCACTTGAAGTTATAGGACAGGTCAAAAGTGTTCCTTTGACGCTTAGTTACCTAATGGGTAATGTATTCACTTAAAGCCTCTCAGTGGTGTAATAGTTTAAAAACAACGTAAAGATAGAAAGCCAAGGGTGAACTTTGCAATGCAGTCAAAATCATAACACTGCAGTTGATCCTTTGCTTCCAGTTCATGTATTGTATCTGAACAAGCTTAATGTGACCCACTTGAAGCCGAAAGACTTTGCAGTTATCAGACCGTTACACTACTTTCAAAAGACCTGCACTACACTGCAGTTTATAGTTAGTAGTTAGGAAGAAATAGAAATATATTTGAGAAACAAAACTTGGACCTGATTCTACAGTTCTTTGGTTTTCTTAGTCAAGGAAGTAGTTCTTTTGGTCCTGAAAAAATTACCTGTATTAGCTTGCAGAACTGAAGCCCAAGCTTAATCATTCTTTGAAACTGAATAACATTTGAGGGTTTTTTTGGGAGCTATTAGGGATTTCTTAGCTGCATCCTGGTAATGAAGCTAAAATTAAGCAAGTAAACCAAAAGGCATTGTAAATGACAATTTGTATTTAATGTGCAAAATAAACAGAAGTAAAACTGAAGTAGTAAAATGATGTTAAGGGTTTGATGTGAACCTGCATGAAGCAAGGTAATTAAGTCAAGAAAAGGACATAAAACAGTTTGTAAAGAGATTGCAATTAAAGTGTCACTAGTACTGTTTCTTTGTACTTAGAATAAGAAACAACTATTGAATTTTAAATCCCAGTGGAGGTAAATGTAAAGTTTATAGGTGACTACCATATGTACAAACTATTTAAAGGGCTTATGATACTTCAGAAATGGGCCCTTTTTGGGAATAAGTGGAAAACATTTATTTTAAGATGTAGGCTGTGTTACCTGGTTCTTTGGGTCTGAAGAGAAGTTTAGATAGTACAAAGTCTATTATAAGTTTTAATTGTTTAATTTTAGACAACAGCTCCTTTGTTACAAGTTTCTACTTCTCTTTTTCCGCACGTTCAATGCAGTAAATGCTCTAGATCTTCTTGCAGAGTAAAAGCTTAAAAATGAGGCTAGTGTATATGCAAGCTATGCCTCCTTCAACTGACGGTGTTGAAACTTCCAACAAATTGGCAAAAAAGTTTGAAGTAACGCAAACAATGGTGGTGGGAGAGAAGTTGGAAGGATAGAGAAGACATGTTATAGATTTTTCTATTTCCTCTGCTCTTGCATATTTTCCACTCTGTAACTGGGAACTGACTGTTAATTACATGCTAATAGTTTTGTATATCTTTCCATCGATTTAGCGACTGTCCCAGTTCATAGCAAAATGTAAGGAATAGGAATTGTTTGATGTTATTGCTTGGAACCCAAGGCTTTATTGGGTGGTTAGACTTTGAAACCCCATAGATGGCTACATTTTCAGATGGTGGATTTTCAAGTGAAGTGGAATGGGATCTGTAGGAATGCAGAGGAGAAAGCTGTAATTGTGGTGTGTGTCAAGTGTGCGACCTGCGAACTAGGAGATACTGCTTTTTACATTGCAGTGGTCCATGTTGATCCTAACAGATCTCAAAGTCCCTTGCCCTTGCTATTGCATAAGGCTATTGCAAGAGATTGTTCCTGTGTTTTAAAAGCAAAATGGACAAGAAGTATATGTTTTTCTGATGGGGAACTAAGATGCAGAAATGATGCAACTAATCGTGGAGCTGCAGGAAGTAATTAACAGAGCCAGAATCAAGATGAAGTTCTGTTCACAACTTCTAATCACAAGACTGACCTGATTGGTTGTTTGAAGTTTGTGCTCTTGACAAAAGAATATGTTCTAACATTTCTGACCTTTTGTTTGATGCAAAAGTAACTTACAATGTTAGTGCAAGAATTTCCATGGTGTGATGAGAAAAAGAGCAAATGACAAACTGAATCACCCGTAACCAATTTCCGCTTATTTCTAGCAAGGGAGTAAATTGACTCAGAAGTGACTGTTCATTCTGACAGTGACAACATCTGGGTGCATGATATTCCCCACACCCTTGTAGTCTAGTCATTCTGTATGAGAAGTGTTTAAACAACAACCACCTAGATTTTTAGAAGACAATACTGACACCTCATCTAAAAGTTTTCTTTCTTTAATTGTATTCATTGATGCCAAGAGAAAGACACTGGCTCAAATGCATTCTCCAGACAGTTTGGTTATATGAGTAATTTAAAGCAATGGAAAGTCAAGTTAATGATGTGGGTTGTTAGTCTTAAACTTTTTTTAAAGTTGATTTGCTAAATACTCAGTTTCTTTTTTTTTGTAGGACCTTAGAAATCAACTAGAAAAATTACATGGTGAAATGACTGAGAAAGAAAAAGCAGTTGAACATCATTACAATATTCTTTTGAGTGAAAGCAATCAGAAGTTGCAGAGCCAAGAACTAGTTATCAAACGGCTAACAGACAATGTCAATCAAAAGGATCTACTGCTTCAGGTAGGTAGACTTAAGTTGAAATGAAGAATGGAAAGTTATCATTTGATTTTGTATGAGGAATTATTACAAGATCACATTTGTGTTTGGATTTGCTGTTGATTTTGATGATAATCCTTCACTTTTTGTAATACTGTATTTGCAGAACAGACATATAATTATAGTGTGTGTGGTATTCCACAAGTTTTCTTGTTAGGGCTTTATGAAGCGTGTGGACAGAGGAGGAAGAAAGCTTTACTAATACATATGTAGAATTTTCACTGTTGTGGGTAAGATACTTCAAAAGCTCTGAAGTGCCTATGATTTTCAGTTTATTGTGCAGAAACTAGAAGTTGAGGAATAGGTATAGATACTGAAACATTTTATCTTCTTTTTTTGGAGCCCATTCAAAATGACGTATGTGAGAAGGGAGCTGCCTGAATGTTAATGGACCCCTGCTCAGTTTTTTTTATAGCTGGAGGTACAACCCTGAAAACTACTGATGGTATTCAACCAGCAATGCAAAGAGTAATATCTGAGGTTGCTCTATACCTGCAGACCAAGGTGTATGCCTTGACTTATTTTTTAATACTTAAAAGATTGGATAGGTGGGGAAAGCTTCTGTTTGATCTTTTTTTGCTTCTATTATGTTAAATCAGTAAAATATGGCACGTAAAGAACATGTGCCCGATCATCCTTGGATATTCTGAATTTTGTTTGTTTGTCTATTGTGCAGTATAAAACTAGAGTAAATTTTGTAAAACTGTCTCATTGTTTTCTTTTGTTAGAAACTTGATGGAACAGTTAAAGAAAAGGATGCAGAATTGCAGGAGCTCCTGAATAAGTACAAGAACCTTCTAAGAGCCAATGAAGAACTTGAACTGAAAAATGAGGGCTTAGTGAAGGAAAAATGTGCTGCACAGTCTCAACAGTCAATCATCAAGATAGTCAGAGAGTTAGAGGTGAGTTTTTCATAACTCTGATCATTTGCAGATAAATACCTTGACTTCAAATTGAAGAGAATTTTGACTTTGGCTTCAAAGTTTTGGACTCATATATGTTGTAATTCACCCACGTAGCAAGGGCTGTTTTTCCTTCATATCAGTACCATATCAAAATGTTCTGTATTATTAAAAAAGATAACAATGGTGTTAGTAATAATTGTGTCGTATGATTTGTATGATTGTGGTGGTATTGATCTTGCATCATAAGAGTATATAGTATTGCACTCTGATGAGTTTATATGGCATCACTGAACTCTTTACTCTCAGAAAGCATGTGAAATGTTTTGCCTGCCATAAAAAGATAGAGTTTTGTGCTCATTAGGGCAGACATATTTCCCTGAGTGGGAGGGTATCTGCATTTCTGAAGAGAGGTGCAGAGGGGTGTTTGTGTACTTCTAATAGATAAGGGGAAAGATTGCACAGAGCTAGTGACTGCAGGAGATAAATGGGGTGTGAGGATAAAAAGTATAGATGGGAATGAAGATGTGTCTAGGACAAGAAGAAAACTACTTTACAGCAAAGAAGAAAGGAAATAGTACGAAAATATATATATATGTGTGGACAATATATGCCCATTATTTTACTTGATGCCATAAATTGAAAAGACTTGTTAGTACCTGAAATCAGAGGTCAAAATTCAAAGTCTTAAAAGGTAGAGTTTCTTCCTTCCCCCTTCACCTCCCACTTCTGTACCAGCAAGAAGAAGTCGGGTACTGTTAAGAAGTTTTTGAATCACTTGCCGACTCCATCAGTGCATTTTTTTTGTTATTGTGTACAGATTATTGAACAAGTAAGCTGCTTTTGAAGGTACATTTCTCATCTTTTTTTGGTGTTGTTTGCAGCCTAGTATGCTAAGGTCTCCAAAAGCATCAGGCAAAGTAGAAAGAATTAGACCAGTACATACTAATGATGGAGAAAGCTATTTCGTTTCTTTAATAATATATTAGTCATTAATGAGATTTTCTCAAGGAAGTTTAAAATAAAGTGACCCAATGGCAAAGGAAACAGGAGTGCTGTGTCTTGTGTCATGTTCTGAACACACTAGTGATGAGGTGCTTAATATGTTATGGGCACTATTATTAAAAAAGGTAGATGCAAGCACACATTGAGTCATGGGTTATTTGACAAGCTCGGAGTAAAGGAGCTGCATCACTGTTTGCTAGGGTGCCAGTGCAGAGTATATCAAAGTATATGTGAATATACATGCAGAGAAAATACAGTCTGTAAAAGGTTGAGTAGAAATTCTACCTCTGTAAAACAAACTGCAGTGCATGCACATAACTTCTGTCACAAAGGGACCTAAGAGTGATGGAAAATCATACAGAATTAATGAAAATCAAACACTAACTTTCCTCTATACACCCCACTTCCAATACGGATGTATAACTAGGAGAGAGAACAGTGGCAAGCAAAGCCATGCATGGTAATGACCCAGTACCCACCTTCTAATCACAGTCTATTCTCTATTGCGGGTTCACTTAGTGATTGTGAACAATACCTAATCACAACCCATTGTCCTCTCAGCTCAACTTCTGTGTAAGGTATCTCCTGTAAGAACCCACTTCGGCATATTAATCATAAGTTTTTGGACACAGATTATCCAAAGCTCTGCTCTTATTGCCTGCCTTGGACTCTTTGATGACTTTACAGTGCTGCACCAACTCTCAACAAACGCACAGCTGGATCCTCCCCACCAGGGAGAACAGAAACCAAGCTCTTCTAGCCTCATTGATCTTTAAAGTTGAAGATACTGAATTGAGAGATGCAGAACTTTCTCTCTTTCATCATACCTTTTTAGTTTATTTTAATGTAATGATAAATTTTAAAGCAACCAGCATCCAAAGCCCTGCTGGGTGCCTTGGCCAGGCCAGGGAACATAAATGACAGTTTCTAATTAGAGTTTGCATTCTTGAGCCACTGTCATGGGCTGGAGAGAGACTGTGTGAGGGCACTGATAATTAGGTTAGTCATGCAACTGCTGACGTTGGTATCTATGAAGTCTTGGAATGAAATGTATTTTACAGCCAAGGAATTTAGAAGTGCAATGGACTCCATATAATTTTGGAAACTTTAGTTGGTTTTGGGCTTACTGCTCTTCTCTCACAACCAATACTTCTACACTTAAAAGCTTTTTTTGTTGGGAGCATTTGTTAAGTAAATATATTTCTAACACAGATGTTTAGAACTTTGTGGTTCATTTTATTACTGAGAAAAGCAGCAAAACTGAGAAAAGTGGCTCTTGCTCAGTCCTTGAGCTGTGTTTCTGGGTTCTGTTGTGTTGCACATGTAATCTTGCACATGGCGTATGCCGCAGTAAGGGGCCACCGCGATAGAAGTTTTAATTCTAAATTGATTTCTCTAAGTGTAAAAATAATTCTTGGATTTGCTGTTATGTAGCCTCTTGTGATGTCCATTTTTGGGAGGGGGAGCTTATATACCACTTGAGACTGGAGTAGGAAATGTAGTTAGCTGATACACTGCAAGGCAAATCTGATGTTTCTGCAGACACAAGTCAATTCCGAATTCCTGTATGATCAGCAGTTTATTTGACTTTGGTTATAATTACTCCTGTATTTAAGGAGTTAATACTGTGCAATCAGGGAACTGAAGAATACTGTGGGCATACAGTTGTGATGTAATTTGCTGCAGCTGGAGAAATGATAGTCAATGCATGGAAGTTATTCATGTAGCTAGCTAAAGCATTGCTGTTGGTAGGTGTCATAAGAATTGGAACTGGTGCATTTGTTGTACTGCAGACATGTATTAGCTGTTGAAATTGATGCAGCGTGCACATCGTTGCTGAGTCGTTGTGATTATGGGAAGCGGTGTAGTTGACTTTATTTTTTATACAAGCATCCTGTCTATTAAATAGTGATCAGTGCATTGTAGTTGTTGCTTTCAGTCTCTTGAAATTGATGTTGTGAGCATATAAACGGGGTGATAGTTCAATTTCTGATTTGATGAGATTAGTTTATAGCTGAAAACAGCAATCTTTTTTTGTCAATATCTATGTTTTAACACACTTTAAACATGATGATGCTTTTTACCTGTGACACTGAGCATGGCCTGGTGATGGGAATGGATGTGGTTGGTGCGTCTCACGATTTCCATATTAGCAGAAATTTAAATCTTAATTGAGTTAGCCTGATGAAGTGATACTTAGATGTACATAGTCCGCTAGTCTTGCCTCACACATCACCAAGAAGGGCCGTAAGTTCCCCGGAGTCAACAGCTTTGTGACATTTTCTGTGGTTGACATGACATCTTCTAAAAGTCATCAACAAAGTCTTTTGCTATAGTATTTTCATCTTTAGATACATGACTCAGTGGCCTGTAACAATTTTAACCTCATTAGCAATTGTTTCATTTATGGTAGACCACACATAAAGTTTACTGCAATGTTAGAAGAAATTACCAAATTTTGGTACTGGTGGATGGATGTATGAATCAGTGATGAGGTGTAGGTTATGGCCTTCTCTCAAACATTCATCCTCTAACCTTCAGAGATTTTGAAGTGATCCTGCTAGTTGTTGGAAGCAAGAGAGTATTCAGTGAGGCAACCGGATATTCTTGTGACTTTGCCAATAAGTTATTTATTGTGGAGGTATAAACCTTTTACTTTCATTGCTTACGATTTAAGAAACCTTTAATGAAAGTAAGTTATGTTTTCCACCACTGCTGCTTAGCAATAGTATTTCAGACTTAAATATAGACTTTAATGTATTAGATTGCTTCCTTTCATGGGAATATAAATCTTTCACTGCAATATGGTCCTGGATGTCTTGCAGCTATCTCCTCTAACACATTTTCCCTCACACCATGTGTCAAGAGGTTTAATGTTTCATTAACTCCCACAGCATTATGGTCTATTTAAGTTACAGAGCTGCCTTATGTTTTGTGTACTGTTGGGGAGTTGATTGGAATAATTCACTCCTACGCTTTATTTAGAAATGACAGTGATAATGTAAAAAAAAAAAAAAAAGTTCATGCTGTATCTTCTTATCCCTATTCATGAAAGATTCTGAAAAATCAAGAACACTTCTTCATGATTTTGCTAACCTCTACCTAGCTAGTTGAATTTAGAATTTAATAATTTGGGTATAGTCTGTGACATTTGGAATTAAGAAACAGCTCGTGTCTCCCGTTATGCAGGAAAAAAAAAAAAGAGTTAGGAGGATTTCATGAGCTTACTGAGATTTTGGTACAAATGTAGAACTAAATTAACATATGAATTCTAAAAGAAACATAGGAAACCACAGCATGGTTCTGTGTGTAACACTGCTTTGTTAATATAGCAGTCATAGACCCTGAACAATTGGTGACAACCGTTATCTAATTTGTGTACCGTAAACTCTTCAGAGTGACATTACTTTGCCAGTGCTTCAGAAAGAGCTTTTAATTAGGATATAGTTCTGTAGTGTCTTCAGTAATAATTGCAAGGCTTGTATCAGACATATGGAAGAGTTCACTAGAAATTTTAACAGACTGTTAACTGACTAAATTAAGTCAAAAGATTTATTTCTTCCTGTTGCTTTCTACGTCATTGATCAGTGTCATTGTGATCAAACTTTTTCCAAGTTAAATTGCAATCTGTGTATGTTTAGTGACTGTTCTTGAAAGGCTGAGATTCCAACACATTGATAAGACTCCTTAATTCAGGCTGTAAGATGTACTTTTTTACATGGTTTTTTTTGTGAGATTTTTTTATTAATGGACTCTGGATCACCCACCTCCATCTGTTTGCCTTTGTGTTTCTCAGTACTCAGTCAGCAGAAACCATTGCTGCATGCTACTCCTCTGCTTATCTAGATAATAAGCTTGAGATGAAGCTCAGTATTTTGCACTTCATATACAACATAGTATTTAATGTATAAATTGCACTAGAACTTGGAAACATTTGTTAGAATACAGCTACCGTTAGGAATGATGGTAGCTGAACATGATACATGTGTACAAAGGCAAGGACACTTCTTCAAAGAATCTTTGTGGTTAAATGGTAGGAGCTACTTTTTCTGTGGTAAGATCTGTCATGCAGATTACCTTAACGGGAGTAACTTCATCAAAACTTGATTACACTTGCAAAATATTATTTAACATATTTGCTAGCATACTGTGAAGGATGAGTGTAAATAATTAAAAGCAAACAACAGTTGTCCTTGCTTTTGTACTGTTTACTTTGCAGAATACTGAATTTTTCAAATTAACAGAGGTTTTGCATCATTAGTGTGAATTAGTGAGATTCTACTGTAGCAGATTTTTTGTTGCAGTTCCTTCCTTAGGAATTGCAATTGGAGTAATAACAGCTGCTTAAAACTCCTGGGTGTAGATTTCTTCCTTGTTATTGATCTGTTCGCTAATGATTTAGTATCTCTTGAGAGTTTTCTTCACTGAGATTCCCCCTTAGCTGTGCCACATTTTTTGTTCTTCCTTTCAGTTTTCAGTCGAAAAAGAAAACTGAGGGGAGCAACAAGGCCTGCTATTCTCAAACGGAGGCAGAATATGTGTGTCTGACATTAATACATCTAAATTTGCTATAGATATCCCAGTTATTTTCTCTCCTGAGGCGGCTGATACCTTAGATATTTTTATGTAATAAGTGCAAGCAAATACTCCTTTAAATAGCTGCATTTTTTTGCCTCCTGCTGAAAAAGTGGCTGTATGGTTGTTTTGGAGTGAAAAAAAGTCTTGGGAAATTAGTGGATCCTTACTGAGAATGTCGCATAAGAGTCTGGATTTATTTTAATAATAATAATAATAATATACTTTCTGTGAGCAAGACTGCAGGTAAACAGTTTTCTTTTATTTGCACAAGTAAAGAAGCAGGTTGTAGTGACCCAGCTGTGCAGAAAGCTGACTCAACGAGCCTGTATCTGACATGTTCATCCTTTATTTGTTGGCTCGATACAGTCCTTTTTGTTGGAACAGAATTTGCAGAAACCCCTCCCCCAAAGAAAGCCAATTTTATCTAGAACACAGAGAGGACCGTTAGGACAGTGTTCTAAAATGTGGGCTTGGAGCTTGGGCTTGTCTACTTTCCCTTCCACTCCTCTGAAATAGCTACCTCTGCCACGTTGTTCCTGGGTTGTTGAGTTGTAAGCTTTGGAATGGAAATGAGGATGCTAGAGTTGGGGGGGGAAACCTTTTTAGACTGATCAAAATGATGAAGCACTGTTTAGATATGTGACTCACGGTAGGTAAATAGTGAAACAGTATTTGCCTCCTTTAATAATAGCTGTTTTTAAGTATCATGAATGGTTTCCAGATTCATATTAGGCTTTGGAGGTGGGCAGTCCTCTTCAGCAAATTTGGATTTCTGCTTCTTTCACATTTTCTTCAGGACACAGGTATACACATAGTTGTAGACATGCGAACTAAAAAATTACATTGTAAGCTTGGTATGTTCTTGTTTTAATTTAGGAAAATAAAGAAGCTGAATATGAAAAGCTGATCCTTGCTTTAAGAAAAGAACAAAATATTTATTCTACACTAGTGAAGACCTTCAAAGAATCGGATAGGTAAGTACTTTTTCTATTTTAGTGGATAATCTAAACTCAAAGGGCAAAAGTCAGAAGTTGTGAAAAAAAGGTGCAGCTTAACTGAAGTGGTGATTAATTTATACTGGCCGATTGTTCATAAGGCATAAACTACCTGAAGTAGTCTTCTTAAAAGAGGAATATTTTTGTAAGTGAGGTTATGTTATCTAAATTACTTAAATGTTTCTGAAAATATTTCTGTTTGGATTGGAATCTTGGATGAACCAGATTTCCATTTAGGTACCAAAGTAAGCAGCTAGGTTTTCAGGAGTTACGTGTCCTTGTGTTGGAATATAGAGGAAAAATCAAATCGCAGTGAACTTTTGGGTGCTGGATGTTTTGCCATGGTACACTTCTAAAATACAGATAATGCTTATCTTAAAAGTGACACTGAGAATTTTTATGAGAATATAAGCTGGTAAGATTTTGGAGAAGGTTAAACAAAACAGAATAATTGAGGTTTGCATAGTATGCTTTCAGTGTAAAGCATTCAGAAGTATGGCAGGAGCAAGTGTTTTTAACCTTTTAAAATCAAAGTACACAACATTTTAGAAATCTGTCGCCTACTTTGTATCCTATTATTGCTCGGCAGTTGAAGAGGAGACATGATAAAATAAAGAAAATTCTTAGCCTTTAGGTAAAATAAATTTAAATGTTTTATGAAAAATTTACTTTTACTGTTATAATTACAAATATCTTAATTAGGTATTGACAGCATTTGAGAGCTAGCTCCTGACTCTTCCTGCCTGAAGGCAATGGTTATACCTGCCAACTTTGTGGGAACGTGTGTTTGTATTTTGCAGTTGGTTTATAGACCACTAGAGTTTGGAAACCATGAAGTGAATAGCACTAGAGTAGATGAGATCTGGTATTTGAATTAAGCACATTAATGGTAATGCCATCTTGTGCTTGGCCACAGCTCAGAAGCTGGTTTTATACTAGAATCTTTTTCATTAGAAATAGTGATACAAGTCAGATTATGGTGATTATTTCTTACCTCTGGGAAGAGAGCAATGTCTTTTGTAACTTTTCTGTTGAACAATCACCAAATGAAGGAAGAACCCAGTTTATTTTAATATTTCATATGGAGGGTGTGACCTGACATTGAAACACATTCTGTGGGTAAGGCGATTGTCAACACTGTCTAGTAATGACAACAAAGTAACATAGCCGTGATCCTAGTTTTTCTTAGAATATCTTTCAAATGAGGAAGATTATAACTGTAGTTATAATTGTTAGGGTAATAGGAGTTTTGCAATTAACTTCTGTAGGATCAGGATCTTTAGTTCTGTTTATTTCATACGGACTTACAGGATGCACAGAGCAGTGCATGTTACGCAGTGATTTGCAGTGGATGCTCAATGACTCAACAATAGAGCTGGAAGTTGGAGGCAGGTCTTCTTATTTCTCCTCCTCCTAGTTTTGTGGGCTGAGATGTGCTGTAAATCTCATCATGGAAGACTTGAACCCCTAAAGTTCAGGGGAGCTGATAAACAAGCCCTGCAGATAAATTCAGCTTCCGAATTTGTGTTAATTGCCGTCAGCAGTGACATGGATTTTAGGGAAACATCCGTTTTCTTGCTGACATATCTTCTTTTAGGCATTATTTATTTTAAGCAACATGGATGGTTTTTTTTTCAAAATAAGCTACCGGATACCAGGACCAAGACATTTCTTGTCTCTCCAAGTGGGGAATCAATGCTTTTTCTTATAAAACCTTTAATGCATGAAAAGGAGAAAATGTGCTTACTTAGCTTCCAGTAATGTGTTGGTTTGTTTTTATTCTTAATTTTTTGCTGAGCTTTTAAGAGAGCTTGCTCTTCAAAGATACTCTTGAACGAGGGAGAATTGTTTAAAGCAGTAGTTTCTTGTGCAGGAAACTGACAACAGCACGCTTGTCAGAAGGCAGACTGAGAGTCTTTTCGTACATGTTGCCTTTTAATTAATGTGTTTCTGCAATATGCACTTATTCTCATGCAAGTATGATGTGCTGTATGTTCCTGTATAGCCTCCTGTAAGATGGATTTAAATTTTTTTTTTAAAGGTTCCTAAATTCTTTGGCATTTAGTGCAGTGCACTGGAAATTCTACAGCAGCTTAATTTATCTTAAAACACTGAGGTTCTGAGTGAAGTAAATGTGAAAATAAATAATACTATGAGTTCAGTAACACCTTGTTATTTATTTGTTACTAAATCCAATTTATTTCATTTTAATACAATTTCAGTTTTTAGTGTACTTAAGTCTTTTTATGGACTGATCAGAACTGTCTTGTCGATGTTGTTGAAGGATATGGGGAAGATCTAGCAAGGGACAGCTAGAGGTGCTGAGACAGTGAGGCCTGAGGGGCAGTGACTGATGCTAAAGAAAGAGCTTCAGTGGGCACCTTGGAAGAAAGGTGCTTAAAGAATTAATTCACCTTGACAAATTATCATTTGTAAGTTTTGGCATTTACACCCCATTGAGATAATTCAGACAATTTAGACCTTAAAAGGTCTTTTTACAGACCGTCGGATAAATGAAGAAATAAAACAGTTAGTTGTGTCTGGGTCATATTCTCAATGAAACACGATTTTTTATTTTTTTCTTAAGTGGAGCATTAGATTATAGAGTATGGTTCTGTAACAAGGGAACAAAGTTTCCATGGTCACCGTATAATGGAATACACAGTGCCATCAGTATTATGTGATAATGATACTTTTCTGGCATACTTTTCAGAAGTTGGTAATTTTGATTTTCCTTAAAAAGAATTAGACAGAAGTTGGCTGGTAGAATACATCCGTCATGTTTAAGCTGACTTACAAGTAGCACAGCTCAAAACAGCAAGAAAAGGCTGTATATGTAAACGTTTAGTCTCATCCTTCTATGTAGGGATTTGATTGTGCTTATGAATCCAAATGATTGTAACTGTGGATGAAAAACAGTGATGGCTAATGTGAAATGGGTTTTTTGTGGAAGCCTGGATGTATAAAAGATGCTGAGGTGCACAACAAAATGTTTTGAATTGAATCTTGATGATATTTTTTTTCCTCCTTTTTTAGTATAAATAGCTTGCAGACAGAACTAAACAACATTTTCACGCTGCGAAAACAACTAGAAGACGACATTTTAGCTAATCGGAATCTACAGAAGGTCTTAGAAGATCAGATTAAGGACATTAAAAACCGACAAGGTCTGTATACATGTACAGCACATCCCTTTTCTTGATCTTCTTGCACAAAAGAAAACTGGTTTTATTACAGTCGGTTTACTGTGATGGAGAAGAAAGGTTTGAGAGTAGTAGAAGATGTGAAAAGACTTCTTTTTGGCTTTCTACACTGAAAATTATTTGGGGGATTTGTAACAAAGTCTTTGAGCAATCAGGGCAAAAAGGGACAGTTTTTCTTTTTCCATGCATCAAATGTTAGTAATTCTATGGCAATTCTACTACAGTGATCATTTCAAGCTGCCTATGATTTTGTACCCATCGAATTTACTGTTTTCTGCAGAAGTCAGAGATTCCTGCCTTTGAATAAATCTGTGGGCATGGGATAACTTTCTGACCATGGAATGTAATTATTTCACAATACTTTGGTAAAGAGCTTGTGTCTCAGGAAATGGCTAGACTCCTTCTAACAGAAGAAGTATTTCCAGAGAAAATAAAAACAGCTAGCGGTTTTGTTATTTTGTAATTCAGAAACAGTAGAGCTTTTAAATATAATATTGTAGCTTTTTTATTGTACTTCTTTGGAGGTGTTTTTAGTATATACTTAGATACAGAAAAGAATAACGTAAGTGGACATTGTTAACTATAGTTTACTGCATACATACAGGTGTATCTGTTTTATTCCATAGGGGATCTATAAATAACAATAAAGCCTGTTCACTTACCCCTTTCAACTTAGATTTTCAATTTTAGCATCACTCCCTTGACAGCTATGATAAGTGACAAAAGGTCACTGCTGTTTCAGAGTTTCCAGCCTCAAAAGCACAGAGATGATGAGCAGCCAGGGTAGGCTAAAGGGTCTTGTGGATACTCCTGGGTTCTCAGGAGCAGTGGTGTTGAGGGTGAGGCTGCTAGGAATGAAGGCTCTAAAAATTAGTAATAATTTGTGAAGCTTTGCGTCCTTGCAGCAGCCATAGGATCAGTGTCAGAGCTGGCAGTATGATTTGGATGTCTCGTCTTTATCCTAATTTTCTCCCTATGTAATGAGATATATTTATAGAATTGACTGCCATCTATATTGTAAATGAACAGGTGTTTATTGAAACATAACAAATCATTCCTGCGGTTATAGAGGAAAGGAATAAGTAGTTATTTTCAATTCAATTAATGAAATCTTTTGACCCAAAGGCAAAATAAATTCAATAACTTTGTCTAACCCAGCTTTGCACCTTGAGACCTTGAGTTCGTGTTCATAAAAATATAGTTAAAACAGAATAACTATTCATGCCTTACTTATCCTTCCTAAAAATTACTTCTAATTGTAATGCTAAATATGCAAATTGTAATTCAGAATTACATTCACAACTCATGCTGATAACCACAGAAAATACAGGCACAGAAAATAGAGCATGTCTACGTATCAGAAGCACAAAGAAATATGAGGACAAAATTTGTTCAATTAAACAGAAAGCTTATTTTGGGGGATTTTAACTGGCCTCCCACAGACTTACTAGTAGGTTCTTATTTGAAAAGTCCTGTCTTTGCATTTTATGCTGTGTTTTCCTGCAAATAGAGTTTCTGAATTAGTTCCTGTCCTTGGTTATTTTGACAGATGAAACACTGTCTTTCTGTGGAGATCAGACATCTTATATGAGTATCTGTTTAGGAGAGCAAGATCATTTAAGCCCACAGATAGACCATCTGTCTCTTGAAGAACTTAAGAAAAAGGTATTGATCTTTTTTTTTATTTACTGTTTCTAATGGCTTAATTCTGCTTTGTTTATAGTTTGTCTCTCTCTCACAGAAAAGTTTATTTAGGTACAGTTGGGTAGTTCTGAAAGGATTTGAAGTTCTCATCTCTGTGGTTTGTGATCCACCTTTTATAACTATTTCTTCTTTGTTACACAACATCAGCTTCAGAATCAGCTGAAAGATAGGTGGCTTGCTGAAAAGGTTTTATGATAGGCACCTGGATTCAAGTTTCATATTTTAGTCATCATGAAGTATACCAACTCCAAAGAACTGTTTTTGCATTAAGTATCGTACAGTGTGTATTTTATGCACTTTTATTAATCATGAAAATAGAAGTGGTGTCTATAATTTTTCTTCTGTATAGCACACTCCATCCCAGGTTTTGAAAATCTTTTGGTAAATATGGCATGTTATAAGATAACCCTGAGGTAAGTTAATGTTGTCTCCATTCTGCATAAAGAGAACTGAAATTCACAGAGATTAAATGTGCAGACCATTGTCATAGATCAGTATCCAAGTTCAGAAACTTGTTCTTCTGGCTCCTTATTGTGTGCAGTGACTTCTGATCCATGCACCAATTTATGATAAGGAATTATTTCGAATATGGTCATTTGGGAGTGAACTTTAGTGAAGTTTTATATTTCTCGTGGCCAGCTGAATTGTAGGCAGCTTTTCAAAATCTGGAGGTGGGTAATCTGAAGGGAAGAAGTTTGCCTTACACTGAACAGGTGTCAATAAAATAAGCCCCAGATTGTGTCCCAGTCCCATTCTGGGGTTATACCACTTTTCTCTCTGAACATATTCCCTTCAGTGGGTTCAGGGACACTAATTAGCAGAAGACATTTATAAACCAGTTCTTACTTGAAAAAGGGTTCGTATGCCTGAAAGTTGATCTGTTTTTTCCAAATATATTAATTGATCTAAAAAGATTTCACTTTCTTCTGCAAACATTGCCTTCTTGATAATACTACATGAGTCTCTGATAGTAATCTCTGTCCAAGAGTTTTGAACATGATCGTCCATTCAGATTTTGTGTCTGTGAAACTACTCAGAATGATAGTGTCTTATAAAGGGTATTTGAGATAGAACAGGTTGAATGCTACTGTTTCCCTGGAATGCTGGTTTCCCTTGCACTAAAATGTTTCTTCTCAAATCAGCCTGCTGGTGTGAGGTGCTCTCAGGTTTTTTCTTGCTACTGAGTTGTGAAACTTGATACCTCAGCTTAATAACATGGCTAGAAACTACAGTCTTACAAGTTAAGATTTCTTGAACACTAACAAATACATAATGATGTTTTCATACATAGGGAGATTGCCTCATAAGCACATACAGATACCCAGGCTTTCCACCTCTGCAGTTTAGATTTAGCTGGAGATTTATATATCATCATTTGTTTTCATACTAGTATGGATGTTACCAGTTTTGTTTGTTTTTCCTTTGGTTATTTAGGTTACTGACCTTCTCTTGATGGTTAAGGATCTGCAGTCAATTAATCAAGAACTTAAGAAAAAACAACTTGGACTTTGTACAACAGATTCTCAAGGGAAGGAAGCACTAAACATATTAAAGCAAAGTGAGGTAGGTTTTCTGTGTTAAAGTAGTGAATCTGACTCTAATCCACCTTGTGGAGTCATTTACATCACTGCAAAATGAGTGTAAAACTCTGGGTGCTTATGTTGCTAATTCCTTATAATAACTTTTTAAATTAATGATGTAAACAACTTTTAGATGTTAGCACAACAGAGAATCAGCTCAATGCAAGTGTGCAGTGATGCGTCAAGTTGATTTTAAGGAAACAACATACACCTTAAAATTTTAACTGGGTCTGTGATCTATTTGTTTTGTCAATTGAAAGGGAAGGAAATAGTTAATTTTACAAAGAAGGCAATATCTTGTATAACATTTTAGGTATTACTGGAAGTCTGCTTGTCCACTGTTTGAGAGTCATTCTCATGCTGTCTCTAATTCTGTAACAGCTTAGTTCATCTCTCCTCTGCATCTACAAAATAATTAGGGTTCACTGTAGCCAAATAGTACTTCAGGTCACTTAAATACATTGCTGTTCCTTCCTATAGAATATAGAAGTATATGAAGAAGTGGTAGATTGCGGTGTGGTAGATTGCTCAGAGGTACAAGGAAGTAATCATTGCTGGGTGTTTCATTCTTTTGCCCAAAGCCAACACTGTTTTTAGCTGTGGGGAAGAAGACGTCGTGGCAAATACTGCCACTGAGAAGCATTTTGGGTGCTGGGTCCTCATGTGTCATCTTATGTGTGAATGATGAAGGTGTTCAGGAGGCTCTGGTAGATTCTAGTGAACCTTCTGGCTTGTTATAAAGTATGACTTGAAATGTGGCTGGTAATACTTTTCTTTATATTCTGTTGTGGTTTTTGCTTTCAGTTACATTGTTGTTGTGCACAATATATGGAACAGGAAGGAAAAAATATAAAAGCAATAATGATGGTGCTAGTATTTTGTGTCTTGCATTTCTGAATTAAAAGAAAAGAAAATTGGGAATAGTTTGAATCAGTTATGTGTAGGGATCGCCTAAGTCAAGAACTGGGACTGGTATTGATGATTTTTCTGTAGGACAGTTTATTCTGCAGGACTCTGGAAAAGGGTCATGTCTTTTACCGTATGTGCTGCAGATGGCACTGGGAGCAATCATCAAAAATATTCCTGCTTTTTCAGTTTTAAGACATACTTATGCTACTTTTAATTGAGTTATGTTTTAAATTATAGATCGACCTTTAGGGGTGCCATGGCTTTTATTAAAATAATGAATTTACATGTTACTGTAATAGGTTTGTATGAAAACTTGTGGGCAATCTGTTTCAGAGTGCATGATAGATTAGTATTTTTAGCAATTTGCCTCGTCATCCTGCAGAGGGTGCTGCACCCTCACTGATGCTGCAGTTAATACCAAAGGAACTCGTGTCCTGGGCTAAGATGATGGTGGCGAGATACTGTGCGCTTCTGCATTTCCCTCGGCATGAAAAGTACACATAGGGCTACTTAGGAAGCTGTCTACATGAAATTAGATGTAGAATGACAAAGAGTGAAGCTTGTAAAATAGAAATAAACCTAAAAATTCTGGTAAAGGAAATAGGAAAGTAAAATATGGTATTTTAACCTGTGCCAGAATGATAATAGTACTATGGAGCTCAAAGTGAAAGGATCTATAATTAGAAGTTTTTAGTTTAAAAGATACCATTTTATCAGTCTTGACAATAAATGGCAACCTGGATTTCAGGTTATGGATTGTGACAACAGTGTGTTTTGCATATTAATAACCATTGTCAAAACCCCCTAAGTTCTATTTTTTTGTGTGTATTTTAGGCTAGAATTTGTTGGCAGGTAGTGCTGAGATGACACTAACATATGTGCTATAAGAGGAATTTGGACAGGCACAGGAAGATGTATCCTTCTCAGGTTCTTAAAATGAACGCATCTTTCTTTCCCTTCACAAAGCCGGAGCACGAGTCAGATGAATCTGCATGTTGGTGCCTCTGCAGGGCATCTCCCAAAGGTCTGACAGCCCCTAGTACTCTATTTCTTGGCTTCATGTTTGGAAGGGAGGGAGGAGGAGGCGAGAAAAAGGTTGTTTTTGTACTGTCCTCTGAACATCTGCTTTCTCTGAGAGAAGCAGCCTCAGTGATTTCAGCCTTCAGGGCTCCAGGGATCTTTGCAAACCAAGCATAGCAGAGGTTCATTTAGGAAAAACATTCTCAAGGTTTTCAGTCTCCAAGGAAATACTTTAAACAAGCAGCTTATTCTTGGTAGACTTTTTTTCTGGCCTTAAGACACGTATTTTCTTTTAATATTTTGTTGAACATTAGGTTGTATTCCTTGGAGCACAGAAAGTTTCTGTTCAGCCTTTCAGATGCAGGACCATAGGACCAGGCTGAAACTGCAGTGGTTTGTTGTAATAGTGTGCTATAACCTGTTGGTCTTATGTAATAGTTTCATTCTAAGAATCATCACTTACTGAAACACATACTGGCCTGAGAAAAGCATATACTAAAAAATGTTGAGTCATAAAAGGTAGTTGCATTGTGTGGATAAGTTATATGTGCAAATAAGTTTGTTTTCAATACACAAATGCAGAGTTTATCCTGAATCTACACATGGAATACTAAACCTTAACAGTTTTTTTATAATAGCTAACATTATTGGACTTCTGGCATCCCATGATTACAATAAAAAGATCAATATAGCATGCCCTTGCTGTATACCACAATCCTATCCATGCCTTCTTCCAGTTTTCAGATTGTCTTTACTTTGTGTTGTCCTAGAAAACCAAGTCTGAGTGAAAATACAAAAATAATTCAAACGTGACTTGGAAGTTAGTTTCTAGTATAGATTTCTAATAGTAAAAGACAAATATATAATATGCTGCACCATCTGATTTTTGCCTTTTAAAATTCATACTTAAAACCATTAGAGTTGCTTATACTGCTAGGAATTGGAAGATAAAAAGGCTTTTCTCATTTATTTTACATATATAGATATATATATGGATACATTCTATGCATACTCAATTAAAAAAAATCAAAACCCACACATGCATTCAATTCCCAGTGTTCTTAGGAGGCAAAAATAACACTCCTTGCAGAATCCTGTTTGTCTGCAATTGGACTGACATGCTGTGAGCAAGAATTTCCAGCATGTGATACTGGGGAAGCAGCTTTTTCTTTTCATGCCATAAGTTTCAGCACTGTGCTGTATATCCATCAAAGCTATAAATATCACATCCACAACCCCTAGACACCAGTTTCTTTCCTTCCAGTCAGTCATCTGAGTCTCTGTACCTATAATCTCAATTTTCTGTAACTATGCTCAAGATTCTGCTTTTCTTGTCTTAAGGTAATTTTTCTTTAGCCCAAGTCACACCAAAATATGACTGTTATACACAGCAGTGCTAGATTATTGCCACGAGGGCTTTAAGACTAAAATTTTTATCCAATGCAGGTTTGAATCCTCTGTTTTAGTGCTGTATCCTACCTACGGTTTAGGCATATTAGGCATAGCATCGTTGATATTTACCATCGCTTTTGCACGTTTCTACTATTTAACGAGATTTTAGCAGCAAAGATCTCAAATAACTATATTTTTCTACTAGATTGGGAAATGTTGCTATAAAACAAGATGAAAACAAGATCATACAAATGTCCAGTCTGGTTTTATCACAGGGGAGTGGTGGAACGTGGTAACTGCAGGTTGCTTGTGGTAGATCCCAAAGTGGGAACGAAAGACTATCCTTCTACTCAGGGTGTTGTCTGACAGGCTGTGCCAGAACGTGGGTACTGAATACAATAATTCTTTGCAAATAAGAGAGTTTTTTTATGATCAGTATTAAACCGACATAGGCAAGGCTAAATTCTGTTCTCGCCTCCAGAGCAAACTGAGTAAAGGAGGTGAGTTGTAAGCAAAGTGAAAACATTCTCTGTGAACTGTGTATAGATGAAGCTCGCTCAGTAGTGGTCTTCGCTGCTGTTGAGAGGAGCAGCGTGTGCGTCTCATCCCTTGCCTGCAGATCGGTTGCTGGGATGTAACACCCAGCAAACCAAAGGGATTCTGGTCTCACTGTCAGTAATGCTGATGTCAGAAACTTGGGCTCTGCTGCTAAAAAAGCTGAGTCTTCCTCCTCCTCTTTGCTCAGGAAATATGAGTGATGGGAGATGGATTGGGCTCTGTGGGAAATAGGGAGAAAAAGATGATTTGGCAGCGTTTGCTACAAATCGGCAACTTTAGGCAAGACACAGCAGATTGTAACCTTCGGTGTTACAGTAAATCTGTTTAGTGTATAGCAAGCTATGTGTGCTTTGTTTTAAAAGCATCTATTTCTTGGATGCTGGAGAAGAGCCTAAATTGTGTAGCAAATGAAAATAAATTCTAGAAATTGGAAAATAAAGTAGGCACAATAAGAACGTGACTGAAGATATAGAGCTCCTTTGCCAGAAGAGTTTAAGTGGTTTTTATATTTTTTATAAATTCTGAGGAGAAAGAGTTAAATAAAAATGAAGGAATGTATAAGATAAAGTTTCACTGTATTTAATATGAGTAATTCCTGGGTTTTATATTAGTTTTCTTTGATCTTGTTGAAGAAATCTAATTCAGTGTTTGTTACTTTGTATTACAGGCTTTTTTATTTTTCTTTTAAGACATGTCACTGACTTATTTATGCACGTTTCATATCACAGTATTTTTTTTGTGCTACATTTTCACATCATTCCATACTTTGTGTAGTGTCTTGAAATAACAGAGGAGCCTGTGATGCAGACTGAAGATGGTGACAATGACAGGAAGATGCAGAACAGTCAATTTTCTGAGGGGGTCAGTCAGGTAGGACTCCACTCTGGGTACATTATAGTACAGTACTCTTTTCTCTGCATGCCTTTAAAAATCCTTATTTTCTTAGAACACAAAGTCTTTTGCAAGGAAAGCATACTTTTCTTGGTATCTGATTTTGCTTTCAACTAATTGTAATCCTAAAGAGTTTCTGAAAGCTTTTTCCTATATTTTTGTGCTGCTAGGGTTTTGCAGTCAAGGTAGCTTTCGTTCTGGTCCTTGTTTTCTCTTGTTTGAGTATTCATAATCTTCCTTAAGGGGGATCACAAAGTCCCTTGAAATTTTGTTTCTTTATACACACACACACTGATCTTCAGCCTCCATTGGAGTCAGGCATATAGTACAAATTCTGTAAGATTCACTTGCTGCTCTGATTGCAGAAAAAGTACTGTAGATCCTTCTTCAGGGTTGAAATACTTGATGTCTTGGTAACTTGCTGACTACATTTTCATACATACAGGAATCTGATGTCCTCTTAGTCTATCGTTCAAAAGCAATGTAATATAAAGCATCATGGAATCATAAAGTAATTCAGATTGCAAGGGATCTTAGAGGATCGTAGAGTGCAATTAAAGTTGAACCTTTCTGATATAAAAATTATAACATGCTAAAATATGACACAAAACAGGGCATTTTGGTTGGTGATGTTGAAGAATAATGATGTTCTGTTCTTTGAAATTTGTAATTTCTGTGTTTGTTTACTAGGTATGCCTTCAGGTATCTTTGGATTTTCCTTGTGAGGTGGAGAAACAGGTAAGTGATGTATTGTAATGATTCTCTTGACTCTTAAACATCTTAATCTCTCACTGCTGATGTCTGCTGATGGAAATTGTATTCAAATGGGCCCAGTATGAATTCTCAAGTAATTGATGCAGAAGACTTTCACTGATTTAAATGAGGGTTGAATTACTGGAGAGATCCCATGTAGAAATTTTCTAGGACATGTCTATGGTGTTGCATACAAAAAGTTGGCGGTTTGTAAATACTTCAAGTTGCATCCTGTCCTGGCCATCAGGGCTTACATCTGGAGGTCCCGGAACAGAATTTTGTACTGTAAAGACAGATGATTCAAAGGTGAACTAATAAAAAGTTAGTTGCAATCTGCAGGGAACATTCCAGAAGTTTCATACCTCTTCATAGATAAAGACCTTCAGGGAAATCTACTTACTACTTACTAAACAACTGATCACTATGAATTAATCATAGGAAATAGATGTTAATTAGTTTTTCTATTAATAAATAGTAAGTGAAATGTCTGTGGATGCTTCTTAAAGTAGATAAAGAGCATCAGGAATTACAAAACCTGATTACAAAAAGATTACAGGCCTGAATTTAATAGAACATTACATACCTGGGTAATAAGAAAATGTTTGCAATTTTTTAACAGATAACTCCATCAGGCTATTCAGAGAGTTTCTGCAAAGATAGACATTATAGGAGTCCAAATAAGCCTCAGTTTGAACGTGATACAACTGGCAAACACTTTGGCAGAATAGGAATGAGTGAACATGAAACAGAAGAGAACTTGCTCACATCTCTTTTAAGAGAAAATAGAACATCTGTACTGGAATCTACGTAAGTATGAGGGATATGCGCTGCTTTTGACAGTATTTCTATTTGAGAAGAGAATAAAGTAATTTTGCTAAAGTGAATTTAGATAATGGCACTGTCTAATTTACCTGAGAGATTGGCAAGGCGCCTTTAGAGCCATTTTAGTCTATCATGCAATTAAGTAATTAGGAAACATACTATCAGTAGAAAACCTTATGAAAAACCCATTACAAGAAAAAAACTCTCCAAAGTTACTGATACATGGAGCTTTACTGTAGGGACTGATTGTTTTCAGGATGGGGTCTAGCAGTATTAAAGGGCTCAGATGATAATAGGTGGTACTTTTTTTTTTTTTTTAAATGAAATATCTGAGAGCACAGGCCAGTGAAAGGTGGTGTGGTGGAGGGGATGACACTGTACTGCTGTAAAAATTATATGTATAAAGGAGCTAAGGATGGAGGAATTTGAGTTAAAATGACTTCTTACAGAGTTAATTTTGAATGGATGTTACTGTACGCTTTTGTAGCCTTTGCCATTTCATCTGAATTGCTTGGACAGAGGTTTGCTCCCAGTCAGAAGTTTAGAGAGTCTGGGCCCCATGTCCTGCAGTTGACTAATTGGTTATTCCAGTGTAACCACTTGTAGGACTGTGCTGAGACGAACCATGTTGTACTTCAGCCACTTTTCATGCAGGAGAAAATACTTGTGTAACTAAATCTGTATAAGTCCTAGCGTAACCAGTGTTTTTCAAGTGTGTGTATTGCACTATGGTTTGATCAATTCCCAGCTGAAAAGCTCATTTCCATAGGAACTGGACAATACAAAGCAAGAAAAGGGTGTACAGGAAAACCACAGCCTGACTAGTTTTGTTTCCCCCAAGTTCACGCTTACACCACTTAATCTCCTGGTTGAAAACTGAATTAGAGCTGTGGTGGAGATCATTCTCATTTTCCTTTCCTAGTTCTCTCCACACTGTAATGACTGTGTACAGTATTACGTGACCTTTCTCAGTGCCCGTCAGTGCTGTTCCTTCAGCTAGCCATAGTGGTTCCTGGAGAGTAATGGGAATGACCTTCCATAGACGTTTTGCTTAGCAATGCTGGTAGCAGAATATCGTGTGGAGTTACACAAGTCAAATCTTGTTTTCTGTGTTCAGCTTGCACTGACTTTACTCAAGCAATTCTATATTTTTACATTACTATTTAAAACTCTCCAACAGGCATAAATGGTCTTAGTTGTCAAAGCATTGGTTAGTGGTAAATGAGGAGATACTACTCTCTTAGAAGACGAATAGATAATATCGTTTTATTTGTTAACTTTACTTAAAAGTCTGCTAATGAGTGATTCCAGCACCATCATCTTTACAGCTCTCGCGTGTAATCTTTTCTATGTTCAAGTATAAATGACCAGATTGACTGGAGATGAGCCTGTGCTTTGCATAACTGAATTCTTACCAATGACATTAGATGCCAGAGAGAGACATCAAAAGCCTAGTTAGCGTCTACCATTTCAAATGCTAGCCATACAATTGCAGTTGTTTTAAAAGCTGGTTTATATGTTTAGTGGCACAAACAGCTCTCTGTTGGATGCATGAAATCATCTATAGAGTTTGAGGGCTTGCTTATGCTTTAAATGTCTCTTGTTTGGCTTCAGTTTCACTTAAAATGTTGTCCATGGACCACTAGTTATCTGTGGGACAGTTTGGTGGTCCATAGTGAGCTGTTTTTGCAGGCTTTTGCCTGCTTTCTCAGTTTCCATCTTCCCTGTTACATTAGAAATACATGAAGGGGTAGATTTTCAGAAAAATTCAACATCTTAGAGGCTCCTGTGTTTTTGGTAGAATTTTATTTTTAAGGTAGTTAAATCAGAGAGTAGACTCTTGAAAATCCATTCCAATTTCTTACATTGCTATATTATGTAGGCAATTGATTTAGTTACCAGAGGTTTAGTATCTGTTCATGAATGGGGAAAGGGGCAGTAGAGCATAAATGGTCATGAAGAGGATAAAAACATTGATGAGAGAATTTATGATGTAACTCACGTGAAAAGGTTTCAAAACCTCTGTTAGTAACTCATTAGTGAGTAAAACAGAATCTCCTGGGAATTTCAAATATGTCATGACATTGCAAAAGTCTTTCTTAGAAGGTATTATTGTTTGCTTAAATAAAAATCAAAATTCATGCCTTTTCTTTCCTCCTTCCTGAGCATAGCAGACAAGAACAAATGAAGATTGTAAATGAACTGTTAGATCACCGGAACACAACTGAGGAAGAATGTTCAAGTGAAGATATAGAGAAGAAGGATGAAAAAGATCTTAGGCAAATGATTATTCAACTAAGAGCTGAACTCAAACATTTCAAGCAGGTCAATAAATTCTTAAAGCAGCAAGTAGAATTGAAATCAGCTTTTGATGGAAAAGAGAAGCTTTATCCAGATGCAATGCCACAGATTAATAAGGATATTGAGTTGTTGAAAGTGGAATTGAAAGATGCAGCTACACAAACAATGACTTTAGAGAGTAATGTCATGAGATTCAAACATGAAGGCAAAAAAGGAGCCTCAGAAGAAAAGCCAAAATACTCAAGATTAAATGCAGAAAGAGAACATCAGCAAGAAAATGTGTATAAGAAGGGTGAACAGCATGAAAGACTTCTTTTTACAAGGAGAACAAATGAAGTAAGTTTATTTAAGATTCTCTTTTTGGTACTTAGGGAATAGATGTATAAAAGAGAAAAATATGTTTCATTTCTAATATTAAATCTTGCTTTTGTGTAATTTTTAAAATTAGAAAAAGATATGTAAGCTAAATATATTTTAGATAATTGTTCTTAATGTTCAGAGCTTTTCATCGCATACTTCAGTGTGCTTTAGAACATTAATTAATTGAATTTCAATCCTCACCGGGACCAGATACTAGTAAATATTATAGCTTTTAGAAAAAGAGATCGTTTATAGCATAATGGCCTGATTCTGTACTACCTTATATCTCTGCATAGATGTTCATAAAGTGCAGAACCACAGCATTCTGAACTGATAGCTTCTTAAGTCTAAATGGCAAATGAGGTCTACAGAATTGAAGATTTGCATGGTGTCTGAGAGCATGCTGGTGAAGTTAATGGTAGATTCCAACAAACTCGGATCTTAATTCTCTGCTTTTATTAACATCTTATTGTGTCTTGCTTTTAGAGAAGTATGACCAGTAGTACTCTATAAAACTGGGGGGGGCAATTCTTCATATTTATTTGGAACCTAAGTGCACAGAACCTCTTTTGTGAGTACAGACGTAATTTGCTTGTGCCAGATAAGTTTTCAAGCCTTTTGTATGCAGGCAGTCTGTGATTCTGAACAAAGAGTTGGGAAAACAGTGTCTACTAAAGAGTTCACGTGTATTGTTTCAGCAGCAGTTATAGAAGCGAAGTTGAAAACTCTTTGAAGATCTTAGCTCTTGCAGAGCAGACAAAGGAAAGTATTGCTTTTGATTTTGTGCGCTGCTAATAGAGAATGTTGTAGCATCTTCTGCAAAGAATGGTTTCCATGACTTTAGTGATCAAGAGATTTCTGTGAACTAGCAATTGGGAACAATTCATTTTTATTCTGGCTTGTTCTTGTCAGATTCATTTTTCTGAAGGAAGTGGCTTGTAAACCAAGAGATGTTGATAAAACTTTGTTCTGTACAGGTATAAGCATCTCAGTATAGTTTGGGATTTTAAGGAAGAGATTTTGGTGTGCACGGTTGGTCCCTGGCAAACACCCTGGCAAATTCATGCCACTCTTAGCAGTAGGTTATGATACTCCTGAAAAATCAAAACCTAAGCAACTCACAAAAACTATGTCTTGTTTCACCAAACAATTTACATGTAATCAAAATCTATCAGGGTATCTTCAGGTACATTCTTAGTCTTTTAAGCTTTCCTTATTGGCAGTGAATTTTCTACCTTTAAAAAAAAAAAATGTTTGGGGAGGAAAGACGATAATAATGGAAATGTTCTTGGGCTGTTGTTAATGTTCTTAGTCTATTAGGCATTTGGTCCGTCGTGTTTGGCAGGTTGATTGCTGTGATAGCTGTTCCCGCATCTTTGGGATGCCTTGGCTAGCCTGAGACAGAAAGGAGTGGATGTGCTTTCTCATCAGTTTGTGTTGGTGCTATCTAGGGCAGCTGACTCCAGGAACAGAGGAAGAGATGAGGGCAGGCGGAATTCAGGAAGAGTAAGGATGGGTAGTGGAGGGCAAAGGGATTTGAGGACATAGCTGGTCTATTAATGAAGGTCTGCTTGTGATGGCTTGCTTAAGAACGCTCATGATGTCTTTGAGTTGCTGGTCTTCTCAGGAATGAAGGACAATCTCTCTGAAGGCAAGTAAAGGCCTGTCTGCCCTCCACAGGGAATACCTAGAGTTCTTTCTGCAATTCTCTTTTTTTCAAGTTCCTGTCTTCATTGAGTTTCAGTATACTGTTTTGATTCCTCATTTTCCAGATTCCTCTCTAGTTTAATCAGTTGCAACCTCAATGCAATCCCTGAGTCAATTGCTTTAAAAGCTTTCTTGTTTGGACTAATGCAGTGTATCTTTTACTTCTGAATGGCTTTTATAAATAATTTCATGTAGCCAGCTGAACTGGACTTTGGGTAATCTGGATGACGTATATGTCTGCACAACAGCCCTGAGACAGCTGGAAATTGTTCAATGTTATTAGTGCAGTTTAGTAAAACTAGTAGGAATTTCATCCCGCCTGGATTTATTTTTCAGCCTCCAAATGATATTGTATTCATGTATGTACAAAAGGAATTGAGTATGTCATTAGGAAAATGGAACTTGGCTTTTTATTATTTTAAATTGTGTAAGGACTATAATTGCTAAGAAATGAATGTGGAAAGGTACTTCAGAATACATAGGGTGGTAAAAGAAATTACGGGACTTATGACACTAGTGGAGCAAATGAACAGCAAAAAAATAAATTAAATCTATCTGAACATGCCATTATTGATTTTTATTATTATTACACACAATTCCATAACTCTCATCAACATATAGCATATTTTTATCTTTTTGGAGATAGCACTATTTTATGCTCTGTGGTTTAAACAAGGACACATTTATTTTATGCAGTCTTCAAAAGGTGAGAGGCTAAAATGTAGTGACTTAAGAAATTTAACTTCTCCCACCAACTCCAATGATGGAATGTCTGTTACAGTATGAAATGGGAATCCTGCGGAAGCAATTTATAGACTGTATGGGTGAAGAAGCTATTCTTGTTCATAAAGAATTTCTCTATGGCAGAATAAATTGCCTCTGTGGCTGATGCAAAGCTATGTTGATTTTCTCAAAGGTATGAAAGTGGGCTGGTACGAAGTAGGGCCTGTTGGGTGGAGACAAAAGGAAGAAAGAAAAATACGTTCAGGAACTTGTGAAAAATAAGGAGGATCCTCAATTTAAAAAAAAAAAAAAAAGAAGGATTTCAGGGAAACGGTTACTGGGCTGTCAGACATTTACGATATAAATGAGAAGAGTGGGAAGTAGCAGTTAGAGAGGTCAGTTTGGGTGAGAAACTATTTTCCTAGGGCTTACACAAATTCAGAGTTAACTAAGACGCCTACTGACTAAAAGCCTTTGCTACTCAATGGTGAATTTGCTGTCTTGCTTCATGAACTGGAAGCCATTCACTGTGTGGCTGTGGCTGGCATAAGCAGCAGTTACTTACAGAAAATTGAACTAGTGGGATATGTGTTTTTTTCCCTCTGTATGTTTGTTTTTCATGTTGTAAGGATATTGTGATCCTATTTTCAAAACTAATGTGACAGCTGACTGATCTTACAGGAACATTTTTGTTTTTCCTGGAATGTTTGTTTATACTTCCTTTACTCGACTGTTACATGTGAGCTACCAACTCCCCATTTTATTCCATGCCTTTTTCAGACTGATTCTGCTTACCTGCCCAAGAAGTCCCGCCTGCCCGTTCTCTTGAAATCATCCAGACCATTAGAAAAGGTGCCTTTGAACTGTGGTATGCAGAAGTCAGATTCAAAACTACAGCATCGTACCAGGGCACCTTATGAAGGTCTGAAAGCATGTGAAGTACAAAACAAACAATTTCAGCCACAAACAAATGGAGAGTTATTATTGAATGAGTCTGTAACTGAAAACCTTCAAGAAGAGCCTGCACAGGAAAGCACATCAGTGAGAGGTAAATAAAGGGCAGACATAATGACTTGTAATACTGCTTGAAACAGTGGCTTCTTTTCTTGTAGCAGAAAGTCAGAACAGATCATTTTTACATATGTACAATGCTGCTTAATCTTACGATTTTCTTGGGTAGGCAACTATGTATAGATCTTGAAAAACACCTTTTTTCTTTTTCTTTTATCTTTGCCGCTAGAATGTAAAACAACTTTATATGGAATAGGAAGTGCTGTGCATACATGGCATAAAGTATATAATAAATGACAGTTTCACAGGGTGCCCACATATATGCACATATACATGTCAATGTTTAAATAAATGAAAAACTTCCTTTATAGGATGCCAAGTGTAATGAAAACTGTCTATAATGGAGACAGGAGATTATAAAAATACTGTATTTGTTTATGCTGCATAAGTAAGTTCTTCCAATATTCCACTGATCGGTCAAGTCATCTGTGTCTGTTTCCAGTGTGGCTGGGTTAATTTAAACTCAGTTGTTGACAAAGTATCTGGATCGGCAAAGTATGACAAATTGTAAGGCAGAGAACAATGGTATTATATAAAGATTTGGAGTGGTAAAAAAACCCAAAAATGCGCTTAGCAGTTAGATTAAAAACTGAGGAGAGATATAAAGGATAGGTGAGGGAGAGAGGAGGTGTAAATATATGAAATAAGATTCAATGAAGTAGCAAGTGAGCCACTGTCAAATGCAGAGATTGCAGAGACTTCACTGTTAATGATAATGTTGTTGTGGTAAGGGACAGATATGGCACAACTTTATTGTAAATACTTAAGCTGATAGGACTACAGCAATTAATTTTGGTAGGCGCAAAATCCATGGATAATTCTGAGAAGGGCAGTACTTCCAACTGGATCCTGAAATGAATCAGAACCTGTTAGGACTGCAGTCCTGTGGTTTCCTTTCCACACTGATTTCTTTACCCTGGATAACAGTTGTACTGCACACTTAGTAATTTTGAGACTTGATGCAGTGGAAGATTGCAGATTAGTTTATGATCAATGCTCATATTGGAGAAACATTTTAGCCTTTTCTCTAAGCTTAACATAAAACATATAAAAATGCACTAAAAATTGATTAACTGTTGCATTGCAAAGGGGACTTGCAGATGTTTATCTTCATTTGTTGGTAGGAAGCCTTCTCAATTCACATTCTTAGTAGTTATCCTTCTAATTAGTTCAAGTATTTTAAAAATATGTGCAAACACTGTTTCGTATGACCAGTAATGTTTGTATTACATTTTCAGTAGTTCTTCCTTAGATGATTTGCCTGTTCCAAATTGTCAGAGAACCAGGTTTGGATTTGTGCGGTGGAGTTTTTTGTTGTTCTTTTGTTTTGGTTTGGTTTTTGGTTGGTTTTGGTTTTGGTTTTGGGGGGTTTTTTTGTTTGTTTTTTTAACCATCCCCACTGAATTTTTTTTCAGTCACTTACTGACTTCTGTTTTACCTTCCCCCACTATTCTCCAGTTGACTCATTGCTCAAACTGGATAATAGTGAGGTCCAGGTGGAGTTGCAAGGTGTTGATCTGGGTACAGGGGGCAAGAATGAATATGCGATGGACAAAAATCAGCAAAACTATCAAGGTAGAGCATTTATATGGTATAGTATTAAAAAAAAATAAAATTAAAACTAGTTTCTTCTGAATTGTGCAAAATTGTAAATTACTGCAGGTAATTGTCTCCCTTGCCATTATTTGTGGGTTTTAAATCTCGTTTTCTTAGCTAGTATAGATTAATTGCTCTAAGAATCCAAGTTGGTCTTTTAAGGGTTATGCTTTCAGAAGGGCCACAGGGATTTATGAGTCTGGTTTCCAGTAAAAATAATGAGTTGTATGCCTAACTCTGATCTCTGTTGCTAACGTCCTCACTTGTGAACTCTTCTCTGAATTAAATGTTTGTTACTTATTGCTTCTGCATCTAGTTATGAACTATTGGAATGAAGCAATTGAATGATAGAATTTTGCTTATCTGAATTATTTGAAGGCATTCAACTAGGTTGAAACCTAATGGAATCTTTTAATGAAAATGTAAATAGGCTTAATACTGTGCATTAAGTGTTTCTGCATCATCCAGTAGTCTTTTTTGGGAGGGCTTGAATAACCTGGTTAACATGTTATGTATAGAGTACAGAGGATATGGTCAAGTTTGTAATCCTTTGTCAAATCATTAATTTTATTTGTATAAGTAGTTCCACTGAAGCCAGTCAGTTGGTTTGCAGGATCATGCTCTATGTGTGCCCTTTGTGTGTGTGGACACATATATGCTCAGAGAGCTTATTAGTTCTTCAATTAAAGGGCAGTGTTTCATTAAAAAGTGTAACCAGTATTCTAATCAGAAATATTTCTTCCCTAATATCTGTATTTATTTATTTTATTATCTGGAACGTTTGTGTGAAATCAGGACTGCAGAGTTTAAGAGTTCATCTAGTATCTGGGGTTTTTTTCCATCTTGGTCCGCAACCTTCTTTGACATTTGTGTTACTGCAGCAACCAACTGCTAGAGAAGGAGGGGAAGCTAATGAACTTAAGTGTTGCATTCCCTTATTCAATGTGTCGTCTTGAATTCATACATGGGCATTTTCTTGGAAGCATTTCTATCCTGTGATTCTGTCACCTTTGGAATGACATGCATAATGGTGTGCAGCAATCTGTGTACTGCAGAGAACATCATCTAGCCTTAATTTCAAATATGTTGATATCCCAGTATTGCAGCTTCATTTTTTTCTGGCTTTTAGGTTATATTTGTTTTTAATTTCTTGTGCTTGGGCTTGACTTGGGCCTTCATATACAGCTGCCCCCCCTGAGATTTTGTACTGATTTAGAGCTTGAACCTGGGCATTTGAATTCTCCATGGAAACCAATTTGAAAGTATTAAGACCTCCGCAAGATCAATGAATGACTCCCAAAAGGGAGGTTCTAATTTGTAGTGATCTTTTGCAGAACTAATAGAAGGAGAAAATTTAATTTACTGGTAACCAGAAAATAACCATTTTCCTAGATACTTACACGTACAGCCCTTAACACACACAGAACTATAAACATAGAATATATGTAGGAATATATAGCTTTTATTGGTCTGAATCTGGGGTGATTGCATTACTTATGAATGGCAAAGTCAACTAAGGGATGTGATGTGCATGCCAGATGAGTGCCAGTAAAACCTTTAACACCAAACATTTTTATGGATTTTGTTTAGAACACATTTTTAAAAGTTATTAAAGCCCCTTTTTAAAAATTTTACTATTTTGTTGGTAATCTTTTAAAAACTTCACTGACTTTATGCTCCAGTTGGTTTTATATAGAATTTTTGAACTGAGGAGAAAAAAAATATTTAATTAGAAGTTTTAGGAAGAACCATTTAAAGTCAGAGAGTCTACTTTTAAATCTCAGTGCCTTATGTTTGAGGTTATCATCTTTGTGGTTGGAAAGGTCTGGGCTTCATCAGTGTCTGATTCAGGACTGCGTATAGCAAAAGTAATTTTCAATCATTTGGGAAAAGAAAGTGGGTGTATTTTGAGTATTGTTTATTTGAAAGGTGATAAGGGGTTTGAAATATTTAATGTGCAAGGTGAATTAATGGGCAAATCATAGAGGTCAAAAGTCCAAAACTAATATTGTATAGTTTGTAATTATTCTGCAGTTTTATTCTGTTATTATAGAAGTAAATGAATTCATTCTGGTGCTGTTAAGAACAGAATGTCAGATAAAGAAGTATTAATATTCACACGCAAGCCTCCTGTTTTTCAGAAATGCAAAATCATCATAACATTAGCAACGTGAATATCCGTTGTTCATTAAAAGAGATAAATGAAGAGTTTTATTCCATGGAACATGAGGACGTTGACTCAGCCACTGCATATTCAGGTTCCAAGTCCCTGCGTGCTCTCAAATTGAGTGTAACAAGTACAGATGCATTTGATGACTATGAAGTCATAGATGATATAGAAGAATTGAAACAAAGAATTAAGAACATGAAGTCTGAGCTCGAAAAGTACAAAATGTTCATGTTTCATTTACAGACCTCTGACCAGGTTTTATCGAGTGGTATTTCCAATATAGTTTTGAGTGACACAGCCTTGCCCATGGAAGGACATGTTACACAAGTGCAAGATACAGCTATGCAAGAAATCAAAACATTTTGTGGTGTCCATCAGCTGATGGATTACGAGATCCACACTGAAAATAGGAATTCAGAGTCTTCAAAGGCACCTGATACACGGACAGCACAAAACCTTAAGGAACCACTATCAGCAAATGAGGCAGAACTTGAAAAAGAGCAAATTGCAAATACGCATCTTGATGAAGTGTATCATCTTCAGAACAAACTGAGAGAAACATCACCATCCAAGTGAGTAAAGCTATTACTGTTTCAGGTTCCTTTTTGTAAACAGCAATACCAAATAACATAGGAAAATAATACAAATATAATTTTAATTCACATAGGAGCGTGTTGTTATAGTAAAGGCTAAATTTCACTAACATTAACATAAAGCAACTGAAACGTTTAGTTAAGAGATGCCCTGAAGTACAAAACAGTATTTGTCTTGCAATAGAACTGCTCCTGATAAGCTTATATCATTCTCTGTAACGATTCTGTGCCACACATCTGTGTCTCTCCCCACACCTCAGATCCACAACTCTCTTTGCTGCAAGACATCCTCTCTTGAGCAAAGTTAGATCTCCTCGGGTTACTCTGTGAGATGGGTTGACCTCTGTAATCAAAATATTACAGTTTTGCATCACTCAGTTTTTTTTCAGGTGACAAGTGTAAGAAAATGGAACACCCCATTTAAGGTAGAAATGTTTTTGTGGGCAGTTAGTTGGCAGACTCATGCTAGCCCTTCTATTTGTGTGAGCAGACTTTATGTGTAAAATAAGAAGTTTATGCTCTAGTTATAATTTATTTTGCAGTTGAGTGCCGTAATGCCTTCCTTTGAAGGATGTGAAAGTAGATATATATAGAAATTAATGAATGAAATTTTATAGCATAAGCTCATAAGCTGGAAGATCATTTATGGGAGGCTGGAAAGTATCAGTCTTGTTTTTTGTATGATAAGACTGGGGGCAACATTTTGGCTTGCATATATACAAATCACAGACATAGAATGGGGTCCCGTAAGACCAAACCTTTTTCAACTTCCCCTCCACTTTTTCCCCCCTCTAATATTGTTATTGTCCTGAGGGCCTACAGAACGGCAGGAAGTATAATAAAGAAAGGTATTCAGCCTTTGGCTTTCTTTGGAATGCTTGAGTAGAAATATTTGGAGACACTGAGCAACCACCAACATGGACTATTGTATATCTCTTAGTATTACTATCATAAAATACAATTGTGCTACATAGTACATATAAATTTACATACCTTGAAAATATACCTCATCCATTTTGCAAAGGAAGATCTAACTGTAAATTAAGGAATGAGACAGTATGGATTGCTGTAAAGTTTTTATGGCCACTGTCTAGGACAACTGCATGAGTCACAAGTGACAGACCCAAAAATGAGTTATGCATCTCTTCCTATACAAATGACAATAAAAATTCTATAACAACCCACACCATCATAGATTTTGTTTATGCCCCATATTTTGTTTGATTCCCTGCATCTTTTCAGATCCTCTCCCTTTTTCTCTCTACTATGATTCTGTATGATTCTGTAGAAAGACGTCTATCTGTGAACAGACAGTGGCAGTGTAAAGGGGATGTCTATATTTGCAAGTGTAGAATAAATTCAGTTGATCTGAGTTGAAATTTATATCCTGGCTTGTGGAGTACAAGAGTTTGGACACTACAGTGGTTGTCATGGTCATGTCTCTGGTAATAAACATGCAGAGATGTGCAGAATTTTCAGACTGGGTGAAACCATCAGCTCAGAAAGTCCAGTATTGTGCTCCTGGCAGGAAATACATAAAGTTTCAGAAGAAGTAATAGCTCTATCTGTTCTTCCATAGTGAATTAAAAAGAAAAAAAAACAAAAAAACCCCAACCAGTCAGGAAAAATATCTGTACTGTTAAAAATTCTTTTCGTGTATTCACTCTTACTTACTTTAATTTGGCAGCTTTGCATGCCATCCGCGTTATTTCCAAGCAGACAAACAAGTCATCACCTTAGTTGCTGCCCATCTTATAAATGAAGCACTTAAGTGAAAGATAATAACCCACAAGTTATACCTATAAATACAAAACTCAACAATTAGAGACAATACATTTCTTATTGTGACTGTAAAAGCATTTTTAAAGAAATAGTCGCACAATATTAGATTTTAAGAATATAAGTTTAATTCACTTTTTATTTATACTTAAATGTTATTTATGGTCAGAAAACTACTTTAAAGATAAATTCATTTTCTCAGATATGATTCATTAGTTCACTCACAAGCTCGAGAACTCTCCTTTCAATGCCAACAAATTAAAGAGATCCGCAGTGGTTGCGTCGCTTACCATCAACATCTGACGAGCCTTATTAAAGCTTTTGAGGAACTGCTTCAAGCCAGTGATGTAGACTATTATGTTGCTGAAGGCTTCCGTGAGCAATTGAATCAAAGTGTACTATTGTTTGAGAAGCTAGAAAGGAAATTCCTGTATGGTAAGTAGCAGTATTTTGTGCTTATTGTCTGAGATACATTAATGTTCTTGAAATTCGAAGTGTTTTTTTTTTTTTTATCTTTTTAGTGAAAGGGAAGCCTTACTTCCTCTTGGTTGCTTTTAAATGGTTTATAGGGAGGAGTATCTTGGAAAGTAAAATTTTAGGGCTTCAGCAAGACTGGATTTTACTTTTGTAGTTGTTCTCTGTATTGACACCTTCTATTTTGCATTGTTTATCTTAGCACATGCATATTTTAACTGTTCAAAATATAGTGGTTATAGTTTAGTAAAAGTTTAGTTACAAGTAGGCTTCAGAATTTTCTATTTCAGGAAACAGCCCAGCTGACTTTGTTGAGCCTAAGCACTGGGTATCTCCATTGAAAGGTTCTCATTGGGCATGGTTCGCAGTTGGTTTTTAACACAGTCTATGCTTAACTAAAAAGAGAAAATTACAGGTCTTGAAGTTCTTCCCCTAAAGTGCAGTTGCTTGCAAGAAGGGTAAATGCAGTACAGAGATGTGGGCTATGCTTTTTGAGTGAAAGAAGAAATTATCATATAGCAGTCCATCTAGGAAATTTTCTATGGCCAATGCCTTTAAAGAAACTGCAAGGAATCCTGCATTCCACAGTTGGAAGATAATACCATGCTGATTTGCACATTATTGATATTCCTGTAGAAATAACGCAAGTTAAATTGTATGCAGGTGTAAAATCACCTGTTACTGAATGAACCAAGAAAAAGAGCCGTAGACTTTATGGAGAAACCCACCCAAATGGTGCAGATAGAAAATTAAAATAAGGGAGGAGAAAGGGAAAATCTATTTGGTTAGAAGGCAGAGAAGAATAATTCCTTTCAGAATTTTGAGTAGCTCATGAATTTAAGAGACTGTGGAGTTGCAGATCAGTGTGTATTGGAGGGTTTCTGTAGGGCATAATAGTAGAACAAGAGCCTCTTGAGCAGGGGTCCTAGGAGAAGACAAGAGAAGTGCAAGGTCCTGCACATGGGTCGGGGCAATCCCAAGCACAAATAGAGGCTGTGTGATGAGTGGATTGAGAGCAGCCCTGAGGAGAAGGACCTGGGAGGGTGTTAGTTGACAAGAAGCTCAACATGACCCAGCAACGCGTGCTTGCAGCTCCCGTGTCCTCAGCCACATCAAAAGAAGCACGACCAGCAGGTTGAGGGAGGCAGTTCTCCCCCTCTACTGTGCTCTCGTGAGACCCCACCTGCAGCACTGCATCCAGATTTGGGGTCCCCAACATAAGAAGGACACGGACCTGTTGGTGTGGGTCTGGAGGAGGGCCACGAAGATGATCAAAGGGCTGGAGCACCTCTCCTATGAAGACAGGCTGAGAGAGTTGGGGTTGTTCCGCCTGGAGAAGAGAAGGCTCCGGGGAGACCTTCTAGCAGCCTTCTAGTACCTAAAGGGGCCTACAGGAAAGCTGGGGAGAGACTTTTTACAAGGGCAGGTACTGATAGCACAGGGGGTAATGGCTTTAAATGGAAAGAGGGTAGATTTAGATTAGGTATAAGGAAGAAGTTCTTTATGGTGAGGGTGGTGAGGTCCTGGGAGAGGTTGCCCAGAGAGGTTGTGGCTGCCCCATCCCTGGCAGTGTTCAAGGCCAGGTTGGATGGGGCTTTGAGCAACCTGGTCTAGTGGAAGGTGTCCCTGACATGGCAGGGGGGTTGGAACTAGATGATCTTTAAAGTCCCTTCCAACCCAAACCGTTCTATGATTCAATGGTGTTAGAGAAAGCTTAGTGCTGAATGGAGTTTATACCCAGGAAAGGACATTGTAATGTGTACCAGTAAGCAAAGTCCCTTTAATTATCAGTGACAACTGGCATATTGTCTGAAAAATGGGAGCTTACACATCTGAAAATGCTCTTGTCCTTTGACTGTTTATCCCAGCTTTCCCAAACAATAGGTGGGGAAACATTAAGCTGGAAAGGCAAAGCCTTAAATGTCTAAAAAGTGGGACCGTATTAGGAGATGTATTACTCCTAACATTTCTAATTATTTTCCTAAGAGACCTGCATCTTGCTGCCAAATAGTCTAGCTGGTTAAGAAAAGCATGCTATCTTTCATAATAGAGAGCTAAAATGCAACCATGTTTTGTAAAATGAGCATCAAAATTGACATTTATCACCTGAGGGAAGAGTATATCATGCATATTGCCTTCAGTCTGTAGTTTGAAGAAAGTTAGCAGCAAAGCAATGGAAAAGGGATGCTATCATGAGTGAAATTCAGCAAGAAAGACCTTTTCCTATCGTTGCCAAGTGTTGTTCTTTCTGACCCAGCTAGCAATACTTCCACAGATGTCAGCTGCCAATCTGACATCTTCAGCGAAACACTTGAGGTGGCCTGAAATAGGGACCCTGACGCCCAGGTCTTCCTGAATTGGCTCTAGAAGATTCACTTTGTTCAGAAACTTTCAGGGCCGAGCCATACAATTATCTGTATTCTGCCTTTCATTACAGATAGTGGCAGCGTGTTGCAGTTTTGATTGCTGATATAAAGGAGTTGTATATGAGAAAAAGGTACTACGCCTAGTGTGTCATAGCAGAGTAACAAAAGATTGAGTGTATTCAACGATTTCAGTGGCTACAGAGATTTCTTGCATTACAAATGAGAAGACTGTGTAGTGAATAAACATTAAATGCCTTTAAACCAACAGATGGTATCCTATATACTATGAAAAGTCACTGACGAGCGAGACAGTTCAATATATCTAACACAATGGTGTTGCATTGAATCACACATTAAAATAAAATGACGTTTGTAGGGTTATAAAGAACATCCAGCGTACTAAGAATTGACTGTAAAGAAGCAGCATAAACAACCGTCTGTCTCTGCATTTCCATCCTGACCTTCAGTTCATTTCCCCTAAAATTTCAGCTGTGCGACTCTTGCCTGCCACTTTTGCTTAATTGCACAAAAATTTTAGAATATGGGGAGCCAAGGTGACACCATGAAGCTCTTACTTCCTTACTCAAATTAGGGTCTGAGTCCAGGTCTCTTGCGCTGAATTGTGCTTGTGTTCACACACTCTACCACTGAGAATACTGCAGGCAAAATCCTGTGTATGCCCCTTTATTAAGGATAACTGGTTAGCCTGACTCTGGCTGGGCAAAATCCAAGTGTGGTGGAATTGTTTTTATATCATTTTGGTTGAAGAAGTAATGGCATGTACCCCTAATTATTTTGCCATAATCTGTATGCTAACTAAAACACCAAGGCTGTAAAATCTGGCACCTGTGGTACCTAATAATTTTTTCTGAACTATGGAGAAAGCTATTGCTTTGTTGCTGGGCTATTAAAAGTTTTGTTCATGTACAGCATTTGACACTGATACACAGCGTGTTGAGTATCTGTTGACTTCTCCAATTTCTCATTAATTTACCATTCTATATTTAAATAGTTTAAGATGGAGGGGGAAAAAGTATAATTCTCAATATCTGTTTTTAATCAGGTATTTCTGCTTTGCAGGAGAATCAATAGGTGCAGAAGTTACTATACTTTACGAATTAGCTCCAAGGTAAGAGTGCAATTCAAACATATGGTTGTTTGATAAATTGATAAGGATGCTCCATGTTTTGTAGCACAACTTCCACTGTTCTGCTTTTTTGGGAGGGCTTTGCTTATATTGCCTGTTTCATTAATATCCATTTTATTAATAAAAAATCCATAGAAAACAAACTAAGGCTTTTTTCCACTCTTCTTATCAAACAGCTGAGATACTGAGAGGAAGCGTCATGGAGCATACCAGGATTGTTCCTTTCACGAACAAACAAAACATGTGCCATAATACACTGCTGGGTATTTTCAGATATCCTAATTGCAGCTGCTAGGAGGGATAGTCAGCTGCCTTTCTGTTTCTGTGACCTTGGGGGCTGGCTTAGGATCTCTGAAGTACAGTGCTGTGGAAGTTCATTCTCAAAACACCCTTACGCTGAAGGTGAAGAGAGCAGGTGTTGTTATGCTGCATATGTTGGTTTTATGCCAGCCTGGGATTCTTATGTGCTACAGAAGTCCTCAGCTGCCTGTTCGAGGCAGTGTGAGATCCCCTAACACGAAGGTGACTCCCTAGTGCTGGAACGTGAACACGAGGCTGGAGGTCCATTGATTATTCCTGCTGACTTTAGTGAGGTCTGAATTTTAGTCTTGATATGTACCTCTGATGTGTAGTGGTTTGTCATGTTCTGTCGCAGAAACTCACTTGCTTTACTTGTGACCTGTAAATTTGATACCATGCTCTCTGTTCATGCTTTCAAAGTAATAAAATAATTTTTGTATTTTAAAACGTTTTGTTTGGCACAAAAGGGATAATGACAAGAACACCACAAGGTACCAGCAACTGAAGGATGAATCACCTGTACCATCTGCTCTTCATAGCTTGTCTGACTTTGATTTGTCAGAAAAGTCATCTCTTGGATCACCTGAGCACAGACATGACCTAGAAGGACAGCATGGCACACTGGCACTTCTGCCAAGCAAGTTTCCCCCAGGTAATTTTTTTTCCCCACTGATGATTCACTAGATATTGGGAAAACGTGATAAATAAGACACAAGGGAACTAATTAAGAAATAATGAAGAATGTTTGTCTGCTTCAGCTTTCCAGTATCTTGCATAATCATTGCAATTTCAGTAATAAGGCATACAGAGATGACAACGATTTGAACTACCTCCTGTTTGAAACAAAATTAACTATGATATTTTGTGTCTTTGTTGTTTTAGACTATCATCTTTTACAGTACTCCAGACAGTCTTTAAATAGACAAGTTATAAGGGGAAAATAGACAATTGTCAAGAGATTATTACATTGAAAAAGAGAGATTTTCTAATTTTATAAAAGCCAGTGTTGTGTTTCCTTGAGAATTGTAAGTGCTGCATAATTAATAAGTGGTGTCATGTTTGACCTGGATAGTTTCACTAAACACAAGTGATGCTTGCAGTAGTTTGTTATAGGCAGTGATGAAAATTTAATAGCTGAGATAGCACGTACTGTTCAGGAGAAAAATATTGCAGAGTAAACCAGGAGTGTGTGACATGGATAAACTGACAAATAAGATAGTGACAGTTAGAACAGATAAGTTCCTGAGTAAAGCTGAAACTTACAACCAATGCAAGAAAAATTGTAGAATGGCAAAGCAAGAAGGAAAAGGTATGGTAATGAAACTTGATAGAACAGATTTATTTATTATGGTATGCATTGTGTAAGTCAAAGTCAAATTTATATCTGAGTTGCTCTGGTAAGCTTCCTGTTGTTATAAGGAAAAATGTATACTATTGGTGCATTGAGCCTGAATGTGAAGCTGCATTGCAGACCTTTGGATTCATTTCCCAGTACGGGGAATGTTTTAACTAGATAAAATTGTTGTCTACTACAGTTTTGTAGGATGAAGAAATTTAAAGAGCCTTAAAAGTGGACCATTGTTTAAGTTAAAATGTAGAGTAGGAGTTTTCACTAAATGCACAGTTTGAGCATTATATGGAAAAAGACTGTTGTGGAGTCAGATATTTAATGTCTGCCACTTTGAACAGCTCTGTATCATTTCTTAATATTAACACATATTAGATTTGACAGGAGTACATAGTGTAAAGGAATACAGTCATTTACTCTAAATAAGAAGTGGTCTCTTGGTTTATTTAGAGTTATTAATGGAGCATCTGCAAGAAATTAGAATCCTGAGACAACGTTTAGAATACTCCATAAAAACTAATGAGAGACTGAGGAAGCAGCTTGAGAGACAAATAACAGACAAGGAACTTGATCAAGGTAAGAATTTATTTTATGACAGATTAAATCCGCCTTTCCTGCTTAAAGCCTGAGGGATCAAATGCTGCTGAAAATGTTTTGTGTGCTTTTTTGAATTAACCCCACCCCTTTACAGTTGGAAAATTATGTGCCTTTCTCTGAGTACTGCTGCATCTTGAGCTCCATCAGCAGACACAGCTTTTCCACGCTGCCCGTAGAGTGGCATAAATACAGATCTAATGTGCCTTTTCCTTGAGTCCATTGCTTGAAGTGTATCCAGTACCGATGCACAAATCTTTTATGGGATACAGGTACACCACGCAGCTTCAAACCTACAGTTGCACATATTGCTAAGAGAACAGGACTACCAGGTAGTTTTATGACATTTGATGATGCTGTGGTTGAATGTCATACAGAGAATTGAAAGACCCTTCTAGTTCTGTTATCAGCAAACAGCCTGCTTTTTAATTTTTTTTTTTATTTTTGTGCCTTTGGGATATCATTATTGTTGGAAAGGTCTTGGATTTTAGGATGTCATCCTCTTTTAATTCTCTGCCATGTCCGGCCAGGGACAGTTGCAGGAGAGGAAGCCCATTTTATCAACATAATTTCAGTGGGGCCTGGGCCCAGTATGAGTACAGGAGGACGTGCTTTGCTCTAAATTACATTGCTGCTATTGATCCACAGTAGGAATTTTGTGGAATTAGCTTTCCTACACCTACTTTGTGTATACCTGGTGTGGTCAGTACAGCACCACTGCTAACAGGACTGTTGGAGGTGCCTTCTCTGGGATTTTCTGACTGCTTTAAAGCCAGCTTGTGTTTACATACAGGGACAAAATATCTGTAAGACAGAGCCTAGGCCACGGTGTTCAGCTTGTCATTTGAATTGATTGGTGTGATAAATATGTTCTACACAAAATGACATAGTGAATTTTTAATGAGAAATACCTGACAGAAACTGATGGAAATTTTAACATGGAGTTGGTTTTCATTCTAAACTCTAATATAAAGCAGTGGAGGAAAAATACTAAAAATAGGTATGCAAATTCAGAGTCACTGCTCTCTGTTGCTAGTGTTCAGCATCTTTGAAAGCCAAGCTCTGTGGTGCATTTAAAACTTTTCACAAGAAGGTAGCCAGGCTTTCACTAAGGATGCTTTTGTAGCACCTTTTCAAGCACACCACGACACCATACCAGGCATACTTTCCTACACTTTACTGTGTTCTTGCTCTCCTTCCCACATTTCCCCCCATAGGACCATTGATTAATATGCAATATTACTCAGACTGGAAGCAGGCAATAAATACATACATGCTTTCCTTTTACTCAGTTTCACTAATATTGACATTAGGTTCATTATGTTTTACATCATCCCCATGATCCATTTCTGTTGTTGTTTAAATGGAGACTACCTGCAAATGGCAGTTTGCTTTCAGGAAAAATTTACAGTGATGGAAAGGTGTATAAAAAGCATCCATTTCATTCATGAAGTATTTACACTGCTGGAAAGGCATACTGTTCTTGTGAAATAACCACACTGAAACACTTCCAACTCTTTTACAGCTTCATAAAGATTCTGGCAAGGGCATCCATTAATGCAGTGAAAGTATATTTTCTTTATAAACTGTCTTATGCCTTCCATCTGTCTTCTTGTTGCCTTAGCGCATCTACGAATGCATGGAGGAGAAATTTGGAAAAGAAAGGAAAAAAGCAACTACCTGTTAGAACAGCTCCTTTTTGTTACTATGTTCTTTCAGTGCTTCCTGTTTCTCTCTGTTTTGAAGATCTCTTTCATGTTATCAGATATATGTATTCTCTCTTCTAGTAATGATGATACTTTTTTTCCAAATAGATGGGCTTTTTTTGACTTTCAGTGTAAAAAAAGTTCCTAAGTGAAGTTGAAGCAGATTTTAGCTTTGGGACATAATAATTCAAAACAATTTTTTTACTTTTAACTTAATACTCTGTATTGGGTTTGCGTGGCAAGGTTTTGGTAGCAGGAGGCTACAGGGGTGGCTTCTGTGACAAGCTGCTAGAAGCTTCCCCTATGTCCGACAGAGCCAATGCCAGCTGGCTCCAAGACGGACCCAAGATTGGCCAAGCCAATCAGCAACAGTGGTAGCACCCCTGGGATAACGTATTTAAGAAGGGAAAAAAATTGCTGCGCAACAGCAATTGCAGTAGGAGAGAGGAGTGAGAACATGTGAGAGAAACAACCCTGCAGACCCCCAGGTCAGTGAAGAAGGAGGAGGAGGAGATGCTCCAGGCGCCGGAGCAGAGATTCCCCTGCAGCCCGTGGGGAAGACCATGGTGAGGCAGGCTGTCCGCCTGCAGCCCAGGGAGGTCCACGGTGGAGCAGATCTCCACCTGCAGCTGGTGGAGGACCCCACGCCGGAGCAGGGGGATGCCCGAAGGAGGCTGTGACCCCGTGGGAAGCCCACGCTGGAGCAGGCTCCTGGCAGGACCTGTGGCCCCGTGGAGGGAGGAGCCCACGCTGGAGCAGGTTTGCTGGCAGGACTTGTGACCCCGTGGGGGACCCACGCTGGAGCAGGCTGTGCCTGAAGGACTGCAGCCCGTGGGAAGGGACCCCCTGCTGGAGCAGTTAGTGAAGAACTGCAGCCTGTGGGAAGGACCCACATTGGAGAAGTTTGTGGAGGACTGTCTCCTGTGGGAGGGATACCATGCTGGAGCAGGGGAAGAGTCTTATATTTTCTCTCCCCTGTTCAGCTTAGTAGGGAGAGTGACAGAGTGGCTTTGGTGGGCACCTGGCATTCAGCCAGGGTCAACCCACCACATATCCTTAGTTTGTTTTCCTTTAAAAAACAAAACCAAGTTGTAACATACTTAATTGTTGCTGAGAACCTGTTAAATTCATGTGATATGGAGTTGTTTGTTCAACCAAAGTTAATGCATAGAATTATTCTTGTCCAATAAATATCATATGGATGTATATATACACATCTGCCCACTATTTTTGCCATGCTATTTTTAATATTTAGATTCTCTAAGTATTTAAATGCCTCTAGGCTTCTAGTATTCTATAAATGACTCAAGTGCTGGTAATGACTACATCGTTACTGTAGAGCTGAGGTTTGCAGTGCAAGTAGAACTAAAATAATTGCTTCAATCATTTCAAATGTTAGGCTTCAAAATAAAATCAAAGGTTTAATTTTGAGTTTCCTAGGTTTCAAATGTTATTAATAGCAGTTAACTTTAAAAGGGGGTTTTGTTTGCTTTTTTGTAACCCATAAGTAACTAATGTATCTACTCAGACTTACCTTCAGCTTTTGTATGCCTTTATTTTGCTTTACCTGGGAATGAATATTTCCTTCCTCTTTGCTGTGATTTTCAATAGTGCCTGTCTTTCAGTCAGTGTTTCCTTTGAAACCTTCAAGGTACACTTCCTCAGCACTCATTTTTTAGCACAAAACATAATGAAAACTCAAGTGTATTGCAGTTGTAGGCCCTGATGCTCCACTTTACTCTGGTTAGGTGGACCTTTGCATCTATGGAGAGCGTAATTGATGTCAGCAGGGCTCTGCACAGAAGTAGTAGTCTCAGTAGTGGGTCAAATTGCAGGATTGTGGCCTTATTACCACTGGCTCTACATTATCCCTTATTATGTAAGATAGCTGATAGTTATATTCTAAAGCCTTTCAGTAGAACTGTGATAGTGTAACTTTTCAAATAGGATAAAGCTGGGTGATGGGCAATAAATTAAATTAGAATCAAGATGAGACCATCAAGCCTTGCCACTTCAAGTTGAATTGCTTTGTTAAAATCTGAAAGGAAAAAGCCTTTTGAGTTCACATAGCTACCTCAACTCTTTAACATATAGATAGTAAAATGCCATTAGTGGCAGGCTTCTAGAGCCTTTGAGTCTTTCAGTAACGACAAGAGGTGCATATCATGGCACACTACATCCCAGTTAGGTAGTGGGTAAAAGCTTCAATTGGGATTACAATAAAATGAGATTACTCAGAGGAAGTGCAGCACATCAAATTGAATTGAACTGCTAGAGCTGAAAGGCATCCTCTTCATGCATTCAGCTAATTTTTTTGCCAGCTGGTTATTTCTCTGTTAACCAAATAGTTGACACTCATGTAGTTATCTCAAGCTTTAAAGCGTAGGAGATACTGGGATAACCAATCAAGTGAAAAATACTTTTAATAGTAATGTTAATTCCGGTGGGTCCTGAGGTGTTTTACTCACTATAAGCAGGTTATAAAGGGCAATAACAATTACTTGACTTGCATTTCAGAGGCAGCCACCTTGAGAGTGGAATGTGGCACTTTTCAGACTGTACTGTAACATTAGACATTGCTGTGGGATGAGTAGCATAAATACAGTACATTATGAGGATTACCTAGGCTGGAATTTCACTGACTAGATACACGATTTAACACTTACATTCATACAACTAGCGCAGTAGGATCCTCAGGGTAGAATTGATCACCCTTAAGTTTCTAAAAGTTAGACATCTAAATCTGTGCCAGGTACCCAGAGTTTCTCATGGAGGCACTGGAGAGAAGTACATCTCTTCAGAGGACAGGGCATCTCATCTGCAGAAACGTGTGCAGAGGATACATTGGATGAGTCACTCTCTGGAGATGCCTGTTTCGCCCCATGACTATTGATGGTTGATCAACACTGGTTCAGTTGTCTAAATTTGAGATGCACAAATTTAAGAGGGATGAATCTTCATCCTTGTGATCATAAATGGGTTCTCGGTTTGTAATCAGAGGCAAAGACAGTGATTCCAGCCTTACGCTCTAGACTGGCATGGTAACAAATCTATTATCAGACTATTTATGTTTCCTGCATTAACCATTGTGGATGAGTTGGTAGAATCTAGTGGTCCTCCGCAATGGTGTCATTAACTACAACAGATTATGAACAGAGCAAGACTGAAGTATATGGTAAACCTTCCTACAGTTTGCATTATTTTCAAAGAATAGCAATGTCACAAAATACTCCTGCATTTTGTCCTGTTGGAATATTAGCTGATAGGTAAAGACTGCCAGGGATAATTTGCAATTTTGGTAATGGTTGCCCAGCAATGAGAGGTACTTGTGATGCAGGGCTTTGGATTACTTGGCATTAACCTGAACTGCCTTTTAGTCTGTAGGGATAACCTTCAAAATATATGGGGGAGAAATATCTTCCATAACATGTTTTTCTGCAATTTTTTTGAATTGTTCTTGTCTGGAAAGTTTAATCTTTAATGACCTAGAGATGACTCATAAATCATCTTTTATGTATATATTTATAGGTTCTGCAAACATTTTTATCCATGGCTCAGAGCAGCATAATTCCCTGACTTCTGAAATACATTTCCTGAGGAAGCAAAATCAAGTTCTGAATGCAATGCTAGCAAAAGGATCCAGAGGTAAAAATGTAAAACTGTGCTTTACAGGAGTAGACTGCAACTCATTCCAGATCAGAAAACCATAAAATATTAACAGTCCGTTCATTAAACTGGCTTAACCATTCTTCCCACCCCTGAAATTCTATGCTCAACTGTAAGCATTCAAACTGGGGTTAATAATAATAAAGGAGTAGCAGTAATGCTCCTTCTTTCTGTATATTTGTAGCATTTTCCATTTGATATTTACTTTCATTTCTCCGTTCTTCTTTTTGCATTCCTTTCTTTTTATACATTCTTTTTCCTCTTCCCCCTGTGCCTTTTGTTACCATTTTCTTGCTCCTTTTTCCCCATGCTTCCATACTGAAGCCCTCATAAGAAAAAAAAGAAAAACAGCCCTAGAATAGTGTTATTGCTGAAAACAAAACCATGCAGTACAGAAGAGTTTCAAAGGGGAGCAAACTAATTATACTTAGGTTCCGAAATCTGCTACAGAGGCTTGACTGAACAGGCCAAGTCATCTTTTTTGAAACACTTCAGAAGAGAACAGAACTGAGGGAATCCATTTGGAAGTATTTGTAATCTCTTGAGATTAATTTTAAACTTTTGTCATTCTCACAGCTGTGAAGAGAGAATCTTAAAGTCTTCCCTCTTCTTTTCCCCCAAGAAAACCAACAACTTGCCAACTAGGTCTTAAAAGCAGCTTAAGCCATAATTAGGTTATAAGTCTCCATATTTTCAGACTATGTAAAAGCACTGGTGCTTCTTCCAGAGTCATGTATTCTCTGATCTGTTCTGGTGCATCTTTGGCCTATCAGTTTGTTCAAGTTCTACTTTTTTAATTAATATATTCACACTTTTGTTTGTTGAATACTATCCTTCTGACCAAATTCCAAGAGGTGTTGGGGGCATTTGGCATATAAGGCTGTACATAGGTTTTTACTGGGACTTTGTAAATCCTGGGGGTTAAATGTTCCACGTTACAGAAAATGCACCTAGCAAAAATCATTAGAAAATTGAAATACTGAAATATTAAAACTCACAAGAGCAGCTGTTATTTTCTGACAGTCTCTGAAAAAGCTGGTTTTGTTAAAAAGCGTAGCTTTAGTAGGTTGTGGGGATTGCAAATATCTTGTGTTTCTTTTTCTTTCAGATAAACAGAAGGAAAATGAAAAGTTAAGAGAATCTCTTTCTAAAAAGAATGCAATCATTGAGCATCTTCATGAGGATTATGAATGCATCAAGAAAGAAAATGAAAGGTTGCAAAAACAAATTGGCCAAAAGGAAGATGAAACCAGATATCTGACATGTCAAATTTACAGCAGTCGTAATGAATTAAACAGGTATTGATTCTGTCCACATTTAGACATTCATTTAGAGAAGAAAACTGTCAATGTGACAAGCATGTGTTTAGCCATAGCCATTAACATTAATGAGGTACACAGATATATTCAAAAGGCAAGGGAAAAATTACAGAGGAAAAGGGAATGGATTTTAGATTTTGAAACAAAATGTAAGAATTTAACTTTTAACTTAGCTGTTTATTGGGACTTAACAGGTTGCAAACAGAAATTAATGTAAAGCAACGTCAGCTCTCCGAGAATGAGAAGTTACTGCAGTCACTTAGAACGGAGATCAAGGTTTATGAAAAGTTGGAAGAAGCAAGAAGGAAGAGGACAGGTATAAATGTACAATTGTTTCTACACCTGTAGCCCTTGCAACCCTTCCCTCTCTGAATATGATCTTGTCAAAGGACAGTAAGGCTATGTCACTATTTCTTTGTTCCTGCTTGTCTGCTATGCAAAGTAGAACTGACAACTTGATGATAAAATGCTACTTTTTACTTAGTAAGGAGTGTAACTGCGAGGTTGAGATGTGTCCTATGTTCTGACTAGGCACACCTGAGTTTCCTTTATCTTTTTAGCTAAGCTAAAACCAAATATTGAAGATTCAGTGGCTCAGGCTGGATAAGCTTCATGGGAGCTTAGATATTTACTTGTCATCTAAATACATGCTGCTGCATTCTCACAGGTAGTGCTTACTCGGGTAGCTTGTGCTTTCTGTTGTCTGAATATGAGGGTAGTGTCTTCTCCCTAGGGCTGGGGAGAAGCGCTGGCACTGCTTTCTGAACGAGACGTTTAATAATTTCCTGTCCACTTGTCTGTCACTAAAGGTGAGGGGTAGGAATGAGACATTTTAATGAGTTCTTCCCACCCCTTTTAAGGAATCTATACCACCACATAGTTGTTGGTATGGCTAGGTAAAAAAGTGGAATGCTGTTCATTGCTGCATACTTGTTTCGGGATGCAGCAAATTTCCCATTGGAAGTTCTTGTAAAAGTTGATTCCCCCCACCTGCCCCTTCCTGCTCCTTTGAGTAACATGCCCTGCCGTCACTGTATTTCATGCCTAGCTGCAGCAGAAGAGCCCTGTTGGCATAAGGCTTTAAGCCAAAAGTGGCTCAGGGATGGAAGTAAGTCTCCCTGCAGAACTGGTAATGTAGTTAGAGAGTAGCTGCACCCTCTCATGCAGTTGAGCCCCTTCCCACTGTCTGGAGAACAGTTTGATTTCAGCATGAAAGAATACATGGAATTATTTGTGTACTGACCTCCTTCTATGAAGAGACGAACACAGCCCTTGCTTTTTTCAGGTTCAGATTTGTTCCTCTGGTTGCCAGGTGATCACTATTTTCTTTTTTCTTCTGTGTATAAAATTAAACTCCCAATTCTACTCCATCCCTCCTCCACGCTCCAAGATTACCCATTCCTTTTTCTTTCCCTAGACTGTGCATTAATGCACTTCAAATTTTGTAAATCCTCTTCATTCTCTTTTTATATTTTTTTCCTTTTGGCATAAGACTTATTGGCTTTTATGGACAAAGTGAAAAATAATTTTCAGCCCTTTAAATCTTTCAAGGGTAGAAGCAATTAAGACATGCTTTTTTGTCAAACCATTATCTTAATGCTGCTTGTAGTTAATTCTTAATATTGAGGATAATGCTGGCTGTAATTTACTTGCTCAGCATTCTGATAATGGCTAATGTTATTTTAATTGTTAAAGATGTTAAGTGTTTCTTTTGAAATTGTCTCAGATCCCAGATGTGATGCATCAGAAGAATTCCGAAAAGATCAGAATAATCCACTTGACTTACATGAACTATTGACTGAAATACAGAGTTTGCGAGTGCAGCTTGAAAGAACCATAGAGACAAACAAGTCTTTGCATGAAAAATTAGAGGAACAGCTTTCAAAAGAAAAGAGAGAGGAAGTGGGATCAGTGTCGGCTGTAAATATCAACTATCTTTTCAAACAAGAATCTCAGCATTACGCAGGAATGAATGGTACTGTGCCATACGTGCTTTTGTTATACTGTAGAACCTGTGCCTTGTTCTTTAAAGATGCTCTTAAAGCCTTATACAGCATCAACTGTACATTTGGGAGCTGCCTATCAGCCTTTCAGCTCCCTTTCCTGTTAGAGCTATTAGTGCACGGGGAGGTGAAATGCATACTGCACTGTCTTACAGCCTCTAACTGTCACTTCCTTTTCATTCAAGAAAAGCATTTGCAGACAGTCTCTGGGATGGAAAGATGCCTACATTAAATTGCGATAAATTTTGCTTACCCGGGGGTTCTTTTTTTTAATGCAGAGCTCTATAGTGTGTGCTAAGGGTGAGTATGTATTACTCAAGATTTATCAATAAGTGCACTAAATGGCCTTTGTATAAATCAGTTGTCCCCTTTTTGCCCTTGAAGAATATCTTACCTTTATTTCGATCACTGTTAAGTGATACTGTTCTAGCAAATCAGGGAAAATATAGTGTTTACACTCAGGGTTAGATTATTGTCCCATATGGAGGTACATGGGATACAGAGGGCACAAGAATGTTCTTTCTTGCTGCTAAAGTACTCTGCATAGTAACAGCTTTCCATACTTCCAGCATAAAGCCACCTCTCCTACTGCCTGTACAGGTATACATCGTGTTATGGGAACCAATAATAATGAGGCTTTTTGGGTCCATACACTTCACCCAAACATGCCTACCTAAATCTTACGCACCACACAGAGCAAGCAGCCCCAGCCAGAGAATTAGTATGAGAGCTCGTGAGACACAACAGGGTTTTTTACCACCTTACTTCTTTTGTGAGTCCATCATGTCCAATCAGAATTGTACTTCAGAGGAAATACATAATGAGCATAACTCTGCGCCACCCTGCACAAGTAAGAAAGATGCTGAATGTAGCAAATAATGTTTATGGGTTGCTACCATTCTCTGTGCGCTTTATACTTGAACACTAAATTACAGTCATGTGCTCCACATGGGGATGGTTCCTTAGGGCCAGTCACAATCAGGTAGGTGTGGAACAGCTTTGTGGGGAACCTATATCACCAGTGTCCCCAGGTTGCATTAGTTCCCAGTTAGTTTCTAGATAGAATCCTAGATGTTGCTTTTGACCTGCATCAGGTAGAGTAGATGGGAGCTGGAAAAGCTTGTTATTTCTTTAAGAAAATGGTAAATAGTGTTATAATAGCTTTGATATGGACCAGAAAGACTCCTTGGAATGTCAACAGCTGAATTTGTTAGCTTTTTAGATGTACTGTGATTGGTCTTTACTCGTAGGTACGTAGGGAATTTGGAAGGTCTGGGGATATACAATCTATACAATCTTTAGTATGGTATAGCCTTGGAGAGTGTCATACTTTTTGTGGAGTTAATGGGAAGCTTGCGTTTGTTGATTAAAATATCTTTATCAGGATATATTTTAGATTTGCTGACCATGACTTGATTTTGGGAGTTATCTAGAACTTTGGATAGATGGTAAAAAGATAAACATAGGTAAATACTGGTAGATACATGGCGTGGTACTGGGAAATTAGCTGTGTTTCCCTGCTTCCTGAATCCAAGTTTAGCATCAGCAAAAAAGAAAAAGGAACAGAAGTAGGGCTAGGAAGTTTTTTTTAATGCATGTTAACTTCTACTGATATACTCTTCCTTGTCCCATTTTTATGTATAGAAAATCTTTGCAAATGCCCTGCTGCCAGCAGAAACACTTGTGAGCTGCAGAAGCATGGACATTGCATTTCGCTAGCAAAAACAGGTACATCCAAAAGTATTTTAAATGGGCATGTTATCTGTATCCCAGACTTGCTGTTTAAGAGAAGTGTAGTGTCAATTAGTTCTGCATGTAAGAATAAAAAAAATTAAACTGTTTTTCTGTCCCAGGTATGCACTCTGCCTCTAAAGACAGTTTAGACAGTAATTCACACTGCAGTAGCACTTCATCTTCCAGTATGGCATGTACCCCTCGTCTTGTGCCTGGACATCGCATGTGGGCAGACAAAAACGGGCGCCACGTTCTTGGCTTGATTGAGGATTATAATGCTCTACGGAAACAGATTTCAGAAGGGCAACAGGTCTTAGCAGAAATGGAGATTTCTTTAAGAGAGGTCACTGGTACGAAACTGCAGGAGCCTGGAATAAAGGTAAACAGTGAAAGCTGTTAAAGGATGGTGAATTTTACCTAGAGGTGCAAAACGTATAGGTTACAAAAGCAAAGAACTAGGTTAATGGTGCAGCAGGCACCATTAACTGAATAACTCTGTCAGGACACCTCAACCTTGACAGCGCAAGTCTCATCTAGATGCAGGCACCTGTCTGTGATTCTGGGTTAATGAGGCTACGGATAAATTAGTTAATTCTGGTCCTTTAACAAGCAGTCTCACTTTTACTTGCTACTTCCTTTTACTATGGAAATAGGTGATTGTTACACTGGAAACAATAAATAGCCAAACAAAACCAACAACAAAACCCAGATGAAACTCTAAAATGCTTTAGAAAGGGCTTAAACTAGGGGTATGTATCAGTAACCTAGGGATAAAAATAATTTGGGAGATTTTCTTGTAATGAAGGCTTGGTATAAACGCAGGAAATATGAGACAGTTAAAAGAAATCTGATATACAGCTGATAAACTTCCCCACTTACTTGTATTCAGCCCTTTAGTAACACCAAGTGATAATTGTACGTTAATGATTGATATATGCTAATGAGGGTTGTTTCATATTAGGGAAGCTTTTTAATATTTTTCCACTTTCTGGTATCAGTTGAACACTTTAGCAATATCAGTAGCTAGTCTAGAAACTTGAATATCTCATTATTGATCAAATATTGTCTTCTAAGACATAGTGTATCATCCTTTCTGCATCAAGTGTGACACAGTGATACCAAGTCACGGTGTTCTTGCTGTAGTCTTAAACGTAATAATTCCTAAACAAATAAAATGTTTGCTTTGTATTGAATAATGTCAATCCTTTTCCTGTAGAATCACGAGAACTACTAGTGTTTACTTACGCTAATGTTTTCTTATTTAATATTGTCAATGTCTGGATACACTTAATGATAGCATATTTGGGGTGGATTGAATAAGACAAATCTACCTACAAGCTTCAACCAAAGGGAAGGAACAATCTGTACATGTACATGTCTGTGGCAGCTAATAAGGAACTGAGAAACTTAAAGCGCAACAGGAAAGGCTTGGATCAGGCATTTCTAGAACATGCCAGTGGTAAAAATAATGAAACACTGGAATGGAGGGTGCTCAGACACACTGTTACTGGAGGCCCTTTTAAGAACCAATTATGTGAATGTTTGAAAAATTACATGTAATGCTTTCCTGCCTTGGAGTGGGAAAGCAAAGTAGATGAGTAAGGAAGGTCCTTTTCACCCCTATGATTTTATGATAATGTAAATGTTGTAAAAAACATGCTTACTGCTCTTCAAAAAACAGAAGGTCTTAAGTAGCATTAATTTATCCAAGCAGTTATTTTTCTAGTTATAATTAGTAAAGCTATTGAAGATGCAGTCTTCAACAATTCCAAAATTCTTTTTGTGGTATCATATGTGTGCTCACACATTAAAATGATGTCTGAATGACACTTAAGACTCTCTGAAGTATCATATATTTTCAAATGGCCTAGTTAAGATACTGATTAAGACTGAAAAAGTAATCTCTCTAAGTTTTTAACTTGTTTTGTTGGTGTAAAGATAAAAGCAGTAAGTTTCACAATTTGCAGTTTCCTATCAAGCTTTACATCACTGAAGTTTCAGACTACTTAGCAAATGGGATATTTTATGTGACAGAAGGATTCTGGTTAGATAACAATGCTAAATAAGTATTCAAATGATATGCTGCATGGGGCAGGAACTGTGAATGCTTTTCTTTCATTACCCTTCCCCCTTCTGTATCACCATTGCTTTGGTAATTCATTTGCTCCCCTTGCATTCTTTCCCTCCTTTATTTCACATTTATGCAATTTTTTCAATTTGGTTTTCTCATCTGTCAGCAGAGGAAAACATTTTATGTGTGTCCTGATAGTTATTTTAGCATTAAATGGAACAGTTTAAAGGGTCTGCTAAGGAAGAAACGTCTATATTGCTTAAATTGATGTCTGTAATCATTTGACTTTCAAATAACATGACATGAAATACAAATGGAGAAAGAAGAGAGTTGCCAACTATTACAACGTGGCATAGCAAATCTAGTAAATATAATCTATTATTAATCATGGTTATTGATTAGGATAAATCCCCTCCCTCCCTGAAATTCTCAGATAATGCATAATTCAGCAGTCTTTGTAAACTAACAGATTAGCTTTTGTGGCACACAATAGCTGTGTACATCATCATAAATATGAAATCATACCAACTGGATTTAAACCATTAATTAAGATTACATTTTCATAATGTTTTAAGCATAAAATGTAACATGTCTCTAATCCTATGATACAGGTACCAGACCAGGCATCACTGCATAGCTTTTCCACAAATATTCACACAGTACAGCAGATTTTAGAAGAGGCTGCACGTTTACTGAAACTTCTCTGGAGAGTTTCCCTTCCACTGAAACCTGTGCATGGTACTACTCATGGGACTCAGGTATTGTTATGTTTCATTTTGCGTTTTTTGGGTTGGGTTTTTTGGTGGTTTTTTTCAGCTGTTGTAACATGTTGGGGAAAATGCATCAGTTAGTTAGGAACATGTCATTTGGGAAAATCTTTTGAAAATCATGAGCCCAGCATGCCCGGTCTCTGGACACATGGATTTAGTCAGCTCTCATCACTGAAGGCTAAGGCTGAATGTATGCTGGCTTTCTAGCTTGATCATATTGTATACTGAGGTGTTTTTTTATAAATACTTTATATTAAAGATGTAATCTGTAACCCTGTTACATGATATTCAGGAAACCTAGGCAGGTGGTGAATGTTCCATTTCAACAAGAAAAGGTTTGGACTCCCTGTTACAGAACCAAATTCAATTGGATTATGTATATACTAGTAACAACAGAAACTTCAGCAACTTTGATGTAATCTGAACTGCATTTTCCTTTTACGTTTTTGATGCCTAAGCTGTAAAATAGGATGCTTTTTTAAAAGTGTGACAAAACCCCGAGACAAATTTTATAACGTTTTAACTAAAAAGGATTGCACTATGCAAATGAATGAAAGTAAACTGAATGAGGAATGAGTTATCTATACTGTCATAATACCACCACTCAGTAATGAAACTGTTTCAAACTCTGGCTTTAAAATAAATCTAAAGTATTTTCACTGAGGTTTTTGTATGTGTTTCTTAAGGGAAGCAGGATATTGCTGAAAAAAAACTCCCAAACTTTAGGAGAGTAAACATTTTATATATAATTTTAATAACATTTTTTGATGTTATTTTCTAGCATCCTTAAATGTGTAAAATCACAAAAGCAGTAAGAATGAACTGTGCTGTCTAATATATTCACTGATGTTTCAGCTCCATATTTGGGATGTCTTGACAAGTGTGTATACATCCACTTTTATCCTTATGTGTATAATCAATATAGAGAGCTGTATGTTGGCCTGGATTGCAGTATCTGAACATATCTTAACGTGCGCGGCTTTCAGTATGTCGGTGATGCATCTAATGCTTTACTGTCAGACTGACCTAAACCTTCTTGATCTGGATCAATCACTTCTGAAAATCTGGCCTTAATGTGTGTGGGATCTGACTTCCCAGGACTGCACCTAATTAGAGCCTAATAGAATCTTTTCTAGAGTTCCTTATCCAGCATCCTGAGATCTTAAGGATATTAGATTGTTTCTGATGTCTTAAATGCAGTATATGAAAGAATGTCTCTTGAAGCTTGATTCTAAAAGATACTGAACATTCACTGCCTTCTCTTCAGCCCCACAGGAGTTGTGAGTAATCAGTTCTTCTGAAGAGCTAAATGCTAGGGGTGAATTCCAGGAGATGATACTATTATTTAACAAGTGGCACAACAAGAAAAAAAAAATGTACAAGCTTAAGTTTGCATGAGGATCCAGATCAGTGATACTGGCAGACTATGTCAGGGCTACTCATAGTGCTGTTTTACAAGATACTAACCATAACTTGGTTGGAATTGGTGGTGAAAACTGAATCTTAAATAATGATACTGTCAAATAATTTTGCAATAAAACTGTTCTGGTCATTTGTACAATGCCTTTTAGCCCTTTGATAAAGGCAGCATCAGCTATTAACAGAACACTGGAGAAGGAAGCTGGAAGTTCAGAACCTGGCAGACAGGATCCTTGCTGATCCCATAGCACTGGCCTCCCTTGTATTTTTTAGTGGGGCGGGGGGGGGTTGGAAGAAGAGAGGAATGGAAGTTTAAAACCAAAAATAGGTACTTTTCTCAGACTAGCAGAAAAATTAATTGCACTAAAAGCCAGCAAAGAATTGTAGTTGTCTGTTGGCAGATGTCATAGAATCATATGTCACTGGGGATGTGAATGTGGAAGGACAGGCTCAGTGACGTTTTATTCCTTTAAGTTGTTCATACTCTAAGGAAGCTTGAGGGCTCTTGTACGAAAGTATTTAGCAATTCACAGTGTACAAAGTACTTGTATATAATACCTTAATATAATATTTTCTTCTTTTAATTTAGGATGAAGGAATGAAAGCAGAAATACTTAGATTACATAAGAAACTGTCCGAGCAAGAGAAGAAGTTACATAGCACAGTGAAACGCTTGCACTCCACAAACCAGCTGAAGGAAAATATGGAGAAAGTCATCATTGACCAGTGTAAGTGTATGCTTTATTACCGGTTCTTATTTTATTTTTGTAGTCTGTGGCTACCTCTAAAATTGGAGAAACAACAAAATGAATATAGACATGTATATTTTTTTCTTAACAAAAAAAAATAAAAATCTGTCCTTACCTTCTCTTAAGAGGCAGGACTAAATGACTCATTCATGTATGCTGGAATGGCACTTGTGTTATCAGTAATTCATCTAGACTGTAAAATGTTACATATCATACAATGTTATGAAAATGGCCATAATACTGTAAGTTACTCAAGTCATTTAAATGCAATGTAGAGGAATAAATGCTATTTTGCTCCATAGCCTGTAATTTTTATATCTAAGGTACATGTATCTTCCGCCTGCAGATGATTATTTTTTTTAAGCATTTATAGGATGTTTTTTGGTCACTTCTTTCAGAATTGTTGTATTAAACGATGTACAAGTTATTTGTATTAAATCCAAAATTATGTTTTCTATAGGATTTAAAGTTAAATAGCTCAGTTTAGGGTTGTCATATAAAAATCAAAGCTATTCTGTCTGTCCTAATAATATCCCTGGGGTAGATTTACTGGTTTAGTTTGGTCAGTTCCTAGTTCCAGTGACATCTCAGACATACTGGATAATTTCAGTAGGGCTGAGCAGAATATAAATCAACAGAGATTTTACCCTTGGGACCAAAATGTTATGCCCACAGCCATTCTACCCACCCATACTTTCAAAAAGAAAAAACCAGTACATCTACCCCTTATTTTGCTCACTCCTTTTCAGGGCATTCAACCTCATCTGAACTAGGTCCTGATAAAATGAAGCCTGCATTTTCTGAAATCTCCTTCATGCAAAGTACTGCCTGGCTAGCAGCAGCTTTGCTGTTAGTGTCACGTCCTCTAAATTCTCTTCATGTACTGAATTGAATATTTTTGATTTAGAAAAATCTAGTTTGCCAGGTGAAATGAATTTACTAGCTGAGTTCTTTATGAGCAGAGAGCACTCTGCTACACAGAAAGACCTAGATATGATTTTCTGTAAGTTTCATTGATTATGGGAATTATGGATGTCAAGTTACCTTTGCCTTAAAGAGCAATTTCAGAAATGTTTCTAAATTGCATCCGTACACAAATTCCTGACCAAGCATGCAACAAAACTGGTGGATCATATGAAGCTGCTGGATTTTGTTAGGATGCTTACACTTGTTTTTGATATTTCTTCCTTTCTCCTTTTGCTAGTAAGAAAGCAAAGGCATCGCAGTAGGTGACCTTGCCTGCCTTCATTCTCCAAACATCCTGTTAGCTGGCCACTCCACTGAGGATATTCAGGTTCCCTCTGTTATTTAGTTGAGCATTCCTAAATATATTTAGAGGCAGAGACTGGAACATTCTTGTGGCTCAGAGTCTTCTATGTGCTTTCTCTGGCAAGTGAACTCATTGCTTATAAACCTCATCTGAACCTCTGAACATGTAACAATGCAGTGCCAAATTGCAGTAATCTGCCAAGGGTATAATTATCTCATGACAGCTATACCCTTGGAGTTGTTGGGTTCTTATTATTGTAATGAAAAATCTTTATTATGGCTAAATTGTTTATTTTTGAGGCTGGAATATTAAATTGGTACTTGTGAATGGTATTTTTCAGCAGTTATGGAGCTGACAGAGATTAGAGAATCACATATTTAACCTGACATTTCTAAGTACCAGTTTTGTTTAGAAGCATCCCCTCCTCCGTTCACAGGTCTCATGCTGTCCCCACAGAGGCAAACTAGCTGGATCAATAGAGAAAACTTGGAACCCTTCAGAACAAGTCACTGACATGATTTCCCCTAAGCATATATAGGTTGCTTTGTCCTTGAACTGCTGGAGGAGCTGGCTGACTTCTTTTGCCATCTGTCCTTTTCCCAGCCCATCGTCCCCCCCAGCCTCTCCACTGCACAATTTTTCTCCCCCTTCTGCTAACTGCCCCCTCTTCGCCCCGGCCCAAGTAGGCTACCTAGTAGATCAAATTGTAGTTAGTGCATGCACCATCTCACCTTAAAATTAACAGAAAGTCTTCCTTTGATGACTTAGGTCAAGGCAACCAGGTCATCAGTATCGCAGGGGGCTGTTCATACCTGTCATGTTAAACGTAGTGATGAGCTATGTGTGTTTTCACATGTATCGTTCTTGTTACGACAGAAAAACTTTAAAAACACTTCCCTGATGGTTTGATATGAAAAGCAGATTATGTGCTACACAGAACATAGGGCCAGGGGTGGGAAGTGGCATTCTAGTGCTGGCGCTGCTGTGGTCCTGAGCGAACGCTTCTGCTCGTCCCTAACTCTCTCCGCTGGTACAGCGTTGCCCCTTAATCTTGGGTTGTTGCAGGTGGAGGTTTGTGTATCAGCCTGAGCTGCTGAACAGGGCTCAGGCCGGGGAGTAACAGTTCTGGATTTGGTAAGAAAGAAAGTTGAAGTGGTGGTGGTGGGGTCTGTATGATTGCCTGGTCGCTGCCTGTCTTGTAGATGTGAGTTCATACATTATTTAGTATGTGGTCATAAGACTTGAATACAGGGAATAGAGAAAGACTGTGCAGTATTCTTTTTAATCTCCTCTTTCTTTTCAGTGGTTTTAACTCATGATGTCTTGAAGAAGGCTAGAGGAAACCTGGAGGTAAGTAAAATTTTTGTTTGCATTTAATTCCTTGGTCTATATTCATTGGAAATATGCATTGCTGTGTCAGTAGTATTTTGCAGAATTAGTCTGATTTGCTTTAGGTTTGCTGCCTAACGAAGTCTGGGTGACAGGGGTTTAGTATGATAAATATTCTGTAATATTTGATGTTTGAATTAGAGTTTTATGACTGACCATGTAAACAGCTAAACCCTTTCCTTTCTGATGCTTTCCCTAGATTAATATTCATGTGTCATCTTCTTCCAGTAGTTTATTTTTAGCAGATCACAGTCCAATAACCTGTCTACTGAGTAAGTTCACAAAAGGCACCCTTATTTAAAGCTTGTGTATGTGTTAATAACTGGTGGTGCTTTTTGTTTAAATATAGACCTAACAGGCAAAGCTTTTGCAAACAGCTATTTGCTAATGCAGTATATTAAATTAGTTTGAGTGTTTAAGTAATCACTGTTCAGATTTGATTTCTCCCAGAAGGTTCAGACTTTACTCGCAGAAGGATGTCATACACTACTTGACTCCTAAATCCCATCCTTCTCCTCACACCACTCCATGCTGAATGATTATACATCTCCCAGCCCCTCCTTAAATTTTCCTCTAACCTTTTCTGTGAATCTCCTCTCCCTTACCCTCATCAGCAGTGCCTTCTTGAAAGCTTCCCCCTGCATCTGCTGTACTGTTGTCTCAGCCCTCTACCTGAGTTAGAAAGTGATGACATAAAAAAGTCTTTTTGCTTACAGAAGTCTTATCACTTTGATTTGAAGATCTGCTGAACACAGAAGCTCCTATTTGCAGATCCTTTTGTACCATTATGGGGTAGGGGCAAATTGTGTGCCTCTGAAGTACTGTAAAATAGTAATAATTATTGCTTTTCTAACCAGGTCCCACCGGCTGAGAATCAAAAATCACCTTCCTACACCAGCAAAAAAAGGATTCTCTGAAGGAGAAAGTTCTACTAGTAAAGACTGATCTTGTGATTGTTGTTTGCTTCTTTATGCCTTACTATTTATTGATGTAAAAATGTTTGTTCAGTTCTTTTAATGGAATCAGCCTTTGACCAAAAAACAAAAGAGAAAAAAAGAAATCTTTTGGTAAATAACTTATTTAACATTTTCTGTAATGTAAAAGATGGTTTTTAATATTTATTATAGAAGCAAGGTACTAGAGGTATTGAAGAAAAATCCAGATTTTTTTAAAGTTGGCTCATTTGAAATTTTATATTTGTACTTGTCATGTTATAAATCTATTTGTTGCTATAGTTAAACAAGTCCTGAAAAAATCAAGAATGTGATCCACCTTCCAAACTGTATCTCTACAGCTAAGAGAATGTAGGTTAAAAAAAAAAAAATAATCTGCCAGTTGGCATTGTTTTGTAACAATGTGTGTTCAATATTTTAAAGCATTTTAAACATATCTGGAAGATTCTTCTGGAAGCTGCCTGATGCTGAGCTTTCTTATTGCCCTATTAGAAACTTAGATTGATGCTCGGTCTGAAAATGTTACTTAAAATCAGACAATTAAAATGAAAAATAATCTACAAATGTGTTTGGGTTATTTTGTTTAAAACATCAGACTTTGAGCACTTACTTACTGAACAAAGAAGCCATGTTAGAGCATTCGTTTCTTGAGTTCAGCTAAAATGAAATGAATCCAGTCCTTAGTGGCAGTGGGTGTAAGGTATCCCAGAAGTGCTTGTCATGGCTAAGTGGGGGTGTTGGAAACTTGCTTTCAGGAAGCCATAACTGAAGGGCATCTTGCTGTTGGCAAAATGTTGGTGTCATCCCCTGCCTGCCCCCTCCTTCCCGAGATCTGTACAGAGAGGACAGAAGGCCATGTGAGGAACACAGCTAAACAGTTTTGAAATCCATTTTTCTGCTAAAAACTCTGAAAAGCGTTTCTTAAATTTAAATAAGTCTTTTACTATGGGTTTATGTTGCACACTGATACATATAATAGTGGTATTTTGGCAAGGCCAGAGAACACTGGCATAAAACATGCCTACTTGTGCTCCCCTCATCCTACCTGGTGCCTTTTCAATTTTGCCTTCGGTTTGAGCTGCCTGAGCACTCGGTTTCACAGCAGAGCCGACTACCAGCAACCTGCTCTCCATGGCACAAAGTAAACTGGGGAAAATAGTTTAGTTTAACCCTAACAAGACTATAATTTAAAGTGATTTTTGGTTACAAAAGTAGACTTTATGGTGCAATCATGGCTTTAGCGAGCTAAATGAATTCCGCACAAAGTGTGATTTGCCCCCCCC